ACTTTCTTGTGTTTGGAATGATGGGTAGTGGGATTCTTACTGTTGTGTTTGGTTTAGGGTATTGGTTGAATGTTCATTTAGTTGGGTTTTATATGAGTGTTCAGATTGTGTGTGGTTTGTTTCAATCTATTGGATGGCCTTGTGTTGTCTCTGTTGTTGGTAATTGGTGTGGGAAAGAGAAACGTGGTTTGATTATGGGTGTGTGGAATTCTCATACTTCTGTTGGGAATATTCTCGGTTCGGTTATTGCGTCTTCGGTTCTTGATTTTGGATGGGGTTGGTCTTTTGTTTTGCCTGGTGGGTTGGTGATTGTTTCTGGAGTGGTTGTGTTTATGTTTCTTGTTGTAAGTCCTCATGATTTGGGGTTTGAAGAACCTGGTAAAGAGATTGAGATCGAGATGAGTTTAGGTGAGAATGTAGAGGAAAGTTTGAGGAAACGGGAAGCTGAGGATGCAGTGCTTCTTGAAAACGTCGATGAATTGGATGATTCCTTGTTTGCTATCGGGTTTCTCGAGGCTTGGAGATTGCCTGGTGTTGCGCCTTACGCTTTCTGTTTGTTTTTCTCGAAACTCGTCGCTTACACGTTCTTGTATTGGTTACCATACTACTTAAGGCACACAGGTAAGCTTAAGCTTATGCATAAATGTTATTTTTTGTATAACTCAACTTGCATCACCTTCTTACTGTTATGCTTTGAAACAGCTGTTGCGGGTGTGAATCTCTCCCACAAAACCGCTGGGATTCTCTCGACAGTCTTTGACATAGGAGGAGTGCTTGGTGGAATATCAGCAGGGTTCATTTCCGATAAAATTAAAGCACGTGCACTCACATCAATCACATTCTTGGCACTCTCCATTCCGGCTCTAATTATGTACAGAATATATGGGAGTGTGTCCATGTTCATCAACATCATCTTGATGTTTATATCCGGGTTATTAGTAAACGGTCCTTATGCACTCATAACCACAGCTGTTGCAGCTGATCTCGGAACACAAGACTCTATTAAAGGGAATGGTCGGGCATTGGCGACAGTAACTGCTATTATAGATGGTACTGGTTCGGTTGGTGCAGCTTTGGGACCATTGCTCGCTGGTTACATATCGAGCAGAGGGTGGAACAGTGTCTTTTTCATGCTTATTTTTTCAATATTCTTTGCGGGTTTGTTCTTGGTTCGGCTTGCAAAGGCTGAGATCAGTAAGATGAGGTCCGGAGAATTGATAGCGTCGAGTGATAGTCAAAGCTGATGATTTTGATCCCAGCAGATTGTATACAAAGGTAGTATCAGGTACATAGATTCAAACAATACAATACAAATTGAGACACCACCTGATTTGTTTTCTACCATTTTAGTTTAGATGAAGCAAAGTCTACTATTTTTGATATTTCACGACATTGAAGTCGTTAACAAAAATATATGAGTAACAAGAGTGGTTGCATAATATGAATTTCGAGCTATGATCTTCATATATATAGTATAAGAGATTGCATTTTCGACATCTCTTTCTTCCTATATTCAATCTTTGCAATTCTGTTTTCGTAAATCCGATTTCAATGATATATTTGGTTATTTAAAAAGATGATGATTCACTTGGTGCATAATGATATATGTGGGATTCTTTGGAGTTCAAAATGATCTTCATTATGCACCATTTTCAAGTTTAAAACACAATGACTCTGAAATGTGTGTTTTTACTTTAATTTGCTCAGTTACGTCATCTAGCTTTACAAAACCCCTAAAGTAAATAAATATGCAAAACCAAGTATTTTATCAAATAAAGCTTAATCCAAATAGAAAAATAAATAAAAGAAAACATAATTCTTTTTTTGTCAACAACTTTTATTAGATTAATTTATATAAATCAATGTTGAGGAATATTGTTTACATATGTGATAATATGCGGTTGAGTACGAACAATAGGCATTGATCATCTTTTGTGGATTACGGATCCTATACTTGATTATTTTTTTGGGTCGGTTCGATTGTAATCAGTTAATTTGGTTTAGTATCATCTTTAGGTGGTTAAAATTTGTATGATAGTAAACTGACTAAAGCCGAGATATATGGTATGAAGTTTCAAACAATGATTCCGATTTTTCAACACCGACGCCGTGGAACAAATATATAGCAAGCGATCATTGTGAGGGATGCATCTAGTGTCATACGATAATTCTTGCGAGATATAGTTTGTCAACTTATTTTTTTTTAGATTGTCAACTCTTTAAATAACACGATATTCAATTATCAAAAATAAACAACTTGCCAACATATCTCAATAGCAAAAAAAAAAAAAAAAAAAAAAAAAAACAGCATGCCAAAATAACTTGTAGAAAATAAACAACTTATCAAAATAACTCACTAGCGAAATAAATAACGTGCCAAAATAACCACTCAGTTGCAAAAGTAAACAACACCCCAAAATCACTCACTAGTAAAAGTAAATAACATGCCAAAAGTTTAATTTTAATTAAGATTGAGTCAATACCAAAACATAATGACCTTAGATTTATATATTTTCATTATATTACCTAAAAACACAGAGTTCCATCAAATGTTTTGACTTCAAAATTTGTATGTTATTTTATTGACAAAAACAAGATTCAAAGTTATGAACTTAAGAAGGAAAATCATTAAATTCTAATAAATGGGAATAAAAACATGAGACTCGTATGTTGTTCTTAATCAATATAAAAGGAGGCTCGTGCAAACTATCCATCCAAACAAACATAAATCATATTCCAGTTTCTGAGAGGTTATTCTCAACTCTTTTTATTTCTTATACTCAACGTTTCAATTATGTTTTTGTTCTCTTTCTCTATAAACTGATGACAATCTCGATGTCATCACGATTCAAAACAAATGATCCTTGATAATTTTAAACATAGCTTTGAATTGTTTTCTTTTTGCCATTTTTCTAAAAAACATTTTGTTTGCATGTAAGAAAAAATGAGTTATACGTAGAAACATGACTTTTTTTTATATGATGCAGATATATACTCCATTGTTGGTCTTCTTCAATCCTTAACAATGAATGGATCTGACAATATCACTCCTTCCGGACCAAAGTTGATGACTCTGCCTTCACCTGTCTTCTCCTCCATGCCACCCTCACATGACTACTCCTCCTTGCCCCCATTGAGCCCTTCTCCGTCGTCATTCCGTCGTAATTCATTACCATCGATGAGCCTTTCTCCGTCTTCTCATGTGGAAAATAGAGACTCTTCCATTAGGGCTAATAAGAAAAACCATTCATTGCCTCCTTTGGGTGTAAAGAGAAGAGCAGCCAAAGACATTGAACCTTTAAGGAGACACAACAGAAGTGTTTCACTGGACAGTTGTTTCAGTGACTTACCGAAGTTGCCTCCTTCTCCGGGTAACGTTTCCTCTTCCAGTTCGGTTGATGGAGACGAGAATGCTTCCGACCTCGAGTTTGGTAGCAGTGATTATACTGATGATGAGTTGAATAAGATCGCAGAGAGTCCCAAACTTCAAGAGGTTAAATCTGATCCTAAGAAAGTCAGAAGGTAGTGAATTTTCGTGACTAAATTATTATTAGTGCTTCTTCTTTTATTATTATTATTTTTTTTTATCATGGTTTGTGACATTTATCCATATGGATGCTCTTACAGAATCTTGAAAAATCGAGAGGCAGCGGCACGTTCAAAGCAGAGGAAATTACAGTACATTATTGACTTGGAATATAGTGTGAACTTTCTTGAGAAAAGAAATACTTCAATATATGAAAAGATCAAGCTTTTGGAGGTGAGACATATCACATAAGCAACCATAAGCATGGCATGTCTAAATAGTATCTATAATGAATTTGGTAAATTTGTATTGTTTTATGTACATGCAGAATGATAAAACAATGATGATGAATGAGAAGAAGGAAATCACTATTCGAATTGAATCGATGGAGCAACAAGCGCAACTTCGTGATGGTACAACATCTTAATTTCTATCGATACTTTAGCAAGATTTTTGTTTTGCAACAACACCTTAAAAAATCCCTTGCTTTGTAACTGTAGAATATCTGTTTTCATTTCCTCTATTGTTGCAGCCTTGACTGAACAATTGCAAGCGGAAATTGAAAGGCTACATGCGGTTACAATTTCAAATGAAAAAGGGAATGTGGAAGCCCAACGGCTAAAGGAGATACCATGCTTGAACAAAAAAATGAGTGCAGATGTTGATCAAATGCTGGAGATGGAAACATGTGAAGTATTGCAGAACCATCGCGAATTTGACAGATTAAACATGCAACCAATGGACCCAAGCATGTTCAATTGGTCGCACCCAAACCCTGGTTTTTATGGATAAATATAAGGAAGTTGAGGAGACTTTAGAAATTCTATGGGATCAACGATTCAAGTTATAGTTCGTTTAAGTTATTCCATAGTATCTAATTTATGTTATGGGTCATGCTGAGAGTAAAAATGATGGTAACCGTGAGGCTTCCTTCAGACGATATGACCTTTTTATTTCTGTTTTGTTTTTTCAGTTCTGTTTCTTTTTTTCAATAAAGCTATGTTTGTTTTTTTTACTAGGTCCAATACTTGCCCATACATGTGGGGTTTTCTGTCCGTAATTTTATTTTTCTATAACGATTTAAATAGTTTGTATTATACTATACTTTTACCTAATTTATCATCTAAGTAATTGATTTTTCTTTACTTAAAAAACGAAATTTGCTTGAAAGTTATAAGTTAGGCAAATATTTTTATATATTAAAAAGAAACATTGTCTTATGTAATATGTCAAAACACTAATAATTACATTGCATATTATTTTAATTAAAAAATAATAGTTAACTCTTTGTAAGAAAATATATATAATTAATGAACAATTCTTGGGTTGAACCCTTGTATTCATCTCCTTTAGTTTTAGCCAATCATTATGTCATATCATATAACATTTAAATAAAAGTTAAAACTTAAACAAACAAATTATTTTAATTAATAAATCATTAACAAAAATATTAATTAGTTAACAAACGTAAATCAAAATTTACGGAGTCGTCGTCTTTTTTTTTTAGGTTTTCGATTTCTCGGACTAATTGTTTCATGTGATTGATGCATCCTCAAAGAAGAGGTGCCTAGACGCGATGCTATAACACAATTTTGATTGTGATCTTGTAAAAGGCTGAAGCTCATATAATATATCCTTCTCGCACGTGCAGGGGAGAGTTGAAGCTCTTGAGATAATAAATTTTGAGAAACTTGACGGTGCTTTACCCATTTCGGTTGCTCTTCTTTGAGGATGCATCAATCACATGAATCTATTAGTCCGAGAAATCGAAAACCTAAAAGAAAAAAGATGTCACTCTGTTAGTTAATGATTTATTTTTGTTAATGATTTATTAATTAATTAATTTGTTTGTTTAAATTTTAACTTTTATTTAAATGTTATATGACAACATGACATAATAATTGGCTAAAACTATAAGGGGTGAATACAAGTTCATCCCTAGGGGTGAACCCAAGAATTATTCATAATTAATTATATTATTCAAATATTGATTTATAGTTAATTTATGTTATATTGTTTATATATAAAGTAAGAAAATAGAAGTTGATTTTATTTAATTAATTATAAACTAGGGGTTGACCCGCGCCTTGCGCGGGGAAAAAAACTTTCCAAACAATTTTACCAACTCGATTGAATTTATTAAGTTGAGTGTTTGTATTTAAAAAACAAAACAAACATAATCGCATAATAGATAATTTATTATTATTTATTATTCTATTTTACAAATCTAAAATTGACATATTAAAATCGAACAATACAATAGTGTTTATTTTAAATAATTATAGAGATAAAGAAGACAAAAAAAAAGAAAAACACAAATTACCAAATGCTCGAGAGTAAGACCAAAGTGTTATGAGATCATATATATCAGACATTTATATTTTGTATACCATGCATAATTTTTTAAAAACCTGGGTATAATTAAGCAATTTAACTTTTACCGTCAAAACATAAAAATTAAGCAATCTAACAAAACAGTCGAACCAATTTTAACACCATTAAATTATACCAAAATAAACTTAGATAAGTCATTAAAACAAACATGGTCTTTAAAACAACGTAGTGGTGACACGTCGAATTTAACATCTTCGACCATTAAAGTAAAACATGATATTAAACGCAGTTCCTTGTGAAGCATTTTTCGCTCGCATTTTTCAGACACAAGACCAGGAAGACCATGGTTCGGCAGCAGACTGTCCAGATGACCTACGATAGTAGTTAAACATGAATAATCCATCATTATAATAAAAAAATAATACAATAATATTTGTTTAAATTACTTTTAGAAATAAGTAAAGGAACACAAAATACGAAACAATATGATTGAAAACACCATAAAACCAACAGAATAATATTCAATATTAGAGACTAACTCCGTATTTTTTAATATTTTGTAACTTAAGCAAAGAAACTCTGCATTACTGATACCTAAGCACATACATGAATGAACAGAAATTGAGTACACAAATATGTTGTTAGGAATTACGGATCTAATTCTTCCTGAAGAACACGAATTAAAAGAAAAAAAAAAGCACATAAGATTTATAGTGATTCACCCTCAACGTGAGAGTTACGTCAACTTTCTGCCGCTGTAGATTTCACCAAAATCAAAAATATTCGGGAGCTACAAATTCTCTCAATCTCTCGCTCTACCGCTCTCTATCTTCGATATTGAAGAGAGGCGACTACGAAAGATACATATAAAGAAAAAATCTAGAACAAATAAACATGAGTCAAAAACCCAAAATACTTTTAATAAAACGTTCAAAGACAACCATACTAAACAAAATAAAACATACGTTCACAACATCAATCATACGTTCACAGAATTGAACATACGTTCATATTCACTGAGATACTCCATTCATACGCCCTTTCTATTGAGATTTATCTTCACAACTCAACAATCTTCCACCTAGAGATTAATCACAATCTTTGGTTTCAATCTGGAGCGATGTCTTCTATTTTTTAGTTTAGAAGACCAACTAAGGTTACACACAACATTAGCTTATTATATGGCACAACATTCTTCAACATATCTACCGGATTTTGACTTCCCGAGACTTTTCAAGCACAATCACGCCATATTCCAACAATGATCTTTTGAATTGATATTTTTGATTTATATGCTTCGTTCGAGTATGGTAAACTGGGTTCTTTGCCAAATCTATGGCACTTTTGCTATCATAATGTAGTACACTCCTCTCATGGTTCTAATCTAACTCTAACAAAAATGATTGTACCCACATCATCTATTTTGCCACTTATGTTAGAGCAATATACTCAGCTTCACAGCTAGACAACACTAGGATCTTTTGCAACTTTGAACTCCAACAAATTGTAGTATCATCAAAAGTGTAAACATACCTAGATGTACTCTTCATGCTCTCAATGTCACCTCCATTGTTAGCATCAACATATCCTTGCAACCCCATCTCAGACTTTTTTTTTTTTTTTTTTTTTTTTTTTTTTTGATAAACCCTATCGGCTATCCGGTAGGCCCCGGTAGGAACGCACCGAAGTGCTACATAGTGGACTGGTCCACCGTGTTAACGGCTTGGCCCTTCGGGTTACCACTCTGCCTATCCCGAGTTTGGAATGCCTTCCGACTAAGTGCCAGGGGGTAGTCAGGCCGCCTGCATTTCTGACTACCAGGTAAACCAATTGGACCAAAGTCCAACTGACAGACTTCCCACAATAATGTTGATAACAGCAAGAGGGAGGAATCAAACTATGGGGAGGAGGGAGTTGCACCCATCCACCTTGGGCCCGCCAACCACCAGCCCACCATCATGTGGGCCCCATCTCAAACTTCCTGAAACACAACGATAAACTCGGATTTCCTTTTAGATACCTTAGAATTAATCCACTTAAACATTCCAATATTCTTTTTCCAGATTGCTCATAAACCTGCTAACGAATTCCACTACATGTGTAATGTCTGACCTTTACATACCATCGCATACATCAAGCTGCCTATTACAGAAGCATATAGAACTGTATCCATATATGTCATCTCATCTTTAGTCACATGTGACTGATCTTTAGAAAACCAAACATGACTCGTCAAGGGAGTACTAACCGACTTTACGTCATTCATGTCAAACCTCTACAGGTTTTTCTTCACGTACTTGTCTAGTGACAACTCAAGACCCTCCTTTCCCTTACTAATTCTCATCCCAAGAATCTGTTTTGCTTCTCCCAGGACATTCATTGCAAACTCTTTTGAGACTATTGCCTTCAGCTTGTCAATCTACTGCAAGTCTCATCCCGCTATCAGCATGTCATCAATATTTAAAAGCAATATCAATTCAGCCTCTTGAAATAACAAAAACAGTCAGCCTCACACCTCAATAACTCAACTTTCTTCATAAAGCTATCAAATTTCTTATACCACGGTCTTAGAGCTTGTTTCGACCTGTACAAAATCTGTTGCAACTTGTATGCCAGCTTTTCTTGTCCTTTGACATCAAAGCCTTCAGGTTAAATCATGTCAATCTCTTCCTCCAACTCCCCGTGAAGAAAGGTCACCATTCAATAGATGGTTAGTCAAATCCGAATTATGTATGGATCTCTTGTCTTCCTCTCGATTGAAAGAGTCACAAAACATTCAACCTACCATTGCATGCAGCAATAGAATTTTAAACAGATCAATTAAGAATCCTAAAAAAAGGCCAAAGCAACAAAAAAACTAACCTTTTCTCTGTATAGACGAATGAATAAGGGGATCAGACACACCGGGTTGAGTTCAGATGCGGCGAAGACGACGTAATAATGATAACATATTAGAATCTGACCAAGACTCATGAAGACCTAACGTTAACTTGACTGTAAATTTTTCCCGTTTCATTTATAGCATATTTTAATTTATGTAAATACCTTTTAATATATTATAAACATTAAAATAGCAAGATATATTCAATAGATCTTATAATGATATATGATTGAATATTAAATATTTTTAAAAGTGTATAACACATGCTTTACTGGATTTAAAATATTTTGATCAGCATTTGTATTTTATATTATATTGTACAATATATAGTGCATGAATCTACTCATCTAGTGATTCCCGGCAAACAATATATAATCATGCAGCCAAAGAGCTATGACTCATACTCCACTTTAATTAGAGCTGGATTAAAATTAACATCTTCTCCACGTTAAGTCAATATTACCAATCTGTCTTATTCTTCTAAATCTCTTTCGACTTCTACTAATTTTGGCTTGTCATCCCTAAATATTGCTTTAAATCATGTAAAATAGTGAATGGTTGTATAAACCGTCTTTTTGTATCACATTTATGATGTTGTGATCATTATGTGACAGTGTCATCTAAACTGTAATGGAAAATATTATCTAACTATGTTATAGTTTTGAAGTTATTTTTCCATCTATTTAACTCCAAATCAATTCTTCATTGTTTTGACAAAAAGAAAAAAAAAAAAAACTCTATATTATTTGTCAATTACACGTATACCCGCAAATAACAGAAACGTGTGGACTCATGTCATAGTTATCTATACACAGACCGAACTATCGTCATTTGGTTTAGCCATAATCTTTTATGTCTCTATAGTTATACTATGCCAAGAAAATAGTAGATTTTACCTGAGAATAATCGCTAGGATAAAATTGGTTAACTATCAAACTAATTACCCCCTTAATTTTGTTCCGAGGTTCACTCTATTTTAGAATCTACCAATGTGTAATATATTTTACAAAATAAGATTACCAGTCAAATAAAAAAAACTTGAGCTATTTAAAGAACACCAAATCTTTGACATGTATGGATGGGCTGCAAACGAAATTCTGAAACCCTGTGCTCACAAAATACTACCACACATACAGTACTAAACTGTATCGAAGGTGCAAAGCATAAAATTTAACTAATAAAACATGACTCTCGAGGAAAGAAACAATCCCATGTTTTTTTATAAACAAACCAAACAATAGTTAGGCTCAAGATGGGCAGTGGTTATGATTTTTTGTTTCTGTGATGAAAATGCAAGCAGTGGTACTTATTTTTCATTATCCATGTCGACCTCATTTCAATTTTTAATTGGAGTTTGACGATTTCTGGCTTAGGAAAAGTCCAAATGAAATGTATACGAACTTTTAGTTTCGGAAAAGGAAAAAAATACACGGGTCGCGAAATTATTATTAACAAAAAGTCAAAGAGAAAAAAAATTCACTGGAGGAGAATTTGATTAGACGCACTCAACTACGATACAAAGTAACACCATTAAAGGCTACAAACATCTAAAAGAATTGATCATTAGCAAATAGCAATAGACTCTCACAATTAAGATATAAGCCAAGGCTATAATCCAACGTCAGCACCTGAGAAAATTAAAAGGCCACCAACACTAATCTATAAAATTTAAGTGAACTTAAGAAAATTGAAACCTGACATATTTGAGAAGATTGTTCCTCCGATTCTTGAGTGTCGCAGTCACTAATTATATCTCTACGTCGAAAGGTTTTGCCTCCACCGCCACCGCTTTGATGTACTCAAACTTTCTTAGCTATATTTTTCACATCCACGAATAATTCTTTTAGTACTTATTTTAAAATAAAATAAAATTGAAGAATTTTCATTTAGAAAAAGTCAAACAAACCTTGTTCTTCTCTGCCGTGGACTTCAGTTCTGAAATGATGTGTTCTTTAAGCTCTGGGAAAGAACAGAGAATGGTTTAGTAAAACCAAGATCTTTAGCCCACCGGTTAAAGATTTATGGGTTGGGAACAACCACAGAAACCGTTAACGGAGGCATCGAAGTGAGATTCAGAGAAGATCTGAGGCTCATGCGTCGTAGAAAGACCATATATATGAGGAGAAGAAATGGGTTGAGGAATACCATCGGCTTTCGTCTGTTGTCTCTGGTTCTTGAAGTTGTCATGATGGCTGAGCGGATAGCAGCAGGACTCCATTGAGGGTGAGGAGTCTTCAAGAGACCAACGAAACCTGAGATGTGAGGACATGACATGGAAGTTTCTGATTCGGTGTTGAAAGGAGTTCTGCGACGGTCAGAGTCTAAGTCCGTGGGACTCGTGGCTTCCGTGAAGGCTGCAATTAATGATGTTGACACCGGGTGCAGTGATGTCAGGTTTGAGGATCCCTGGTGTAACGGAGTTAGGTCCTCTGGAAGAGAAAGAGGCCATGAAAGGAGCAGGCTTTGTGTTCAAGGTAGCGGTTGGTGCTTTGATGTAACCTTTGGGATCTTTCGTGGAACTTAGGTACGAAAACAAAAGCTTCACCATCTTTGTAGTCAATTTCAGAAGCAGGAAGCACATGAGCGTCTGAGATGATTACGTCTCTCTCTCTTGTGGTTGCATAGAATCATTCCCGCAGCTCCAGCAACGACTGCTTGCTGTCCTTTGTCCACATGCACGTGCGTTGTCTCCTCTAAGACACACCAAAATCTTCCCTTTCACCTTCTCCGGGTCTAAGCTACCTTTGCATATTCTATTTATATATCCAACATTAGTTGATTAGTGCTTATGTTACACATTCCCAAAAAAATGGATACAGCTTTTACTTACGCATCAGTCACATTTCCATTTGGCTACTTTAGCTTCTGCAGCACTGATGAGGCTGTACATCTTTTCTTCGGGCAAAGGCTTTGAGAGGCTTGTTCAAAGCGTTCAAAATTAATTACTTGTAGCACAAGAAAGAAAGGAACAGAAAAAGTGAAAACAGTAAAGATCAAACCTTGAAGCTTTGGCCGTTGTTCAGCTCAACAAAGGCTTGAAACTCCCGATCCATAGAGCTAGCACCGACTGTAATAATCCATGGTGCAACCTTTGAGACAGTTCCAGACTTAGGATCGGAATTCCCAGCAGAGCACACAGAGATTCAATGGCAATGCCATCGCTCATGTAATCTCCTGTAACAGGACAAACCGGTAACCGAGAATAAGTTAAAATAAATCCAATCCAGAGATTCACCGAGAATCCGGAGATTGGCAAATCAATGCCCAGAAGGTGAAGGATCACCTCGAAGATCTAAGATTCGGTGTTAATGGAAGATGATGATGATCGAAAGAAATAAAGGAGATTGAAGAAGTTAATTTGTGTTTCTGATTGATTCTCAGAAAATGGCTAAAACCCTTCAAATTGTGGCCACCATGGTTTGGTGGTCTAAACAAAGGGAAAAATGTCATTTAATAGCCGAACTTTCAAATTGTGGCCATTTGCCACACCAACTTCACAAATGGCCAATTTAAACATGATAAAAACGTTGACTTCCGTTTAGCACAAGACAAAATCGTTGACCAAGCCAAAACACCAAGCCGTTAACAGATCCGCTAACACCCGTTAACACCGTTAACACCTCCGTTAATGCCCAAAACGACGTCGTTTTAGAGCTTACTCGAAACTTCTAAAAGCTGAAGAATCCCCAATTCAGAGAAATTTCCAAATCGATTTCAAACCCTAAAATTTTCAATTCTCAACAATTCACAGCATTATCTTCCTTTTGAGCTCGAAATCTTGTTTTTTTCATCGAATTCTCCAATTCTACCAGAGATATGAGTTGCAATTCATGTGTTCAAGATGGAGGTTGCGAGTTCCGTGGCTTTCCTTCGAAGTGTCACTGCGGCTTAGACGTTGTCATACTCACATCGAAGACGAAGCAGAACCCAAGGAGACCGTTCTTCCGTTGTCCAACCTTGAATGATGTAAGTAGATTTGATTTAGTGTTTTTTGGGTTTGGTCGGTAATACATTTTCAACGTGATCGCAGGGCCATTTGTTTAAATGGGTTGAAGATTGTGTCTACGAAGAGGTTGTAGACGCTAAGCCGAAAATCTCCAGCATTGACAATGAAATAAACAATGTCAAATGTGAGGTTTCAGTCGAGATTGCAGAGTTAAAGTGTATGATCAATGAATTGAAGGAAGATGGAACGTGGAGCAAAAGAGAAATTAAGAGAATCAAATTGTGGTTGGTCTGCATTTGTTTAGCTATCACTGTAATTGTTCTCCTAATGTTGTATACTTCCAAAAACCAGAAACTTGTTCTAGGTTACTAGTTTCTTTGTTAGTTGGTATGTGTTTTAGTTGTTTGGTCTTTTGTGTTATGTCTTGTTGTAATGAAATGCTAGTTTGGCTTTGTCTTGTTTGTGTGTTGTGCCTTTGGTAATGGAAATATGAATTGTCTTGTCTTGATCAATAATATTTTTGTCAGAAAGATCAATAACCATTCATACAACTAAATAAAAAGAACAATACAAGTCATAGAAGAACCACACAACAAGAAGTTAGGTTCAAACATACCAAAATACTCCGATTGAAAGGTTTTGTTCAGACATAACAAAAAAAATTCATAAAATCTTCTTCAAGTGGAACACTGAAACCATGATGCAAATCTACCTAGTCCTTGTCCTTCTGGTTGTGCTTCTGGTTGAGCTTATGGTTCTGCTCCATGCGTTTGATGAGCTTGTGCACCGTGTGATCGCCGATTTGATGTAGCTTGTGATCCTTGTGAACCAAGATGAGATTGTGATCCTTGCCCGTGGCCTTGTGAACCAAGATGAGCTTGTGATCCTTGCCCTTGTCCTTGTGAGCCAATATGGGCTAGACCCTGCAGAATAACATAAGAAAACACAAGAAAATAAGCTGAAAACCATTCATAAAAGACTTAAAACCATAACAATAGACTCTAATAAACCAAGAAAACTAACCGACTGTTTATCTGAGATGATAGCTAGATGTTGCATTTCACAGAGACCCAAGCTAGCAGAGAGGTGTCTCATAAACCAGTCCCAATTATCATCGTTTTCTATCTCTACAACTGCCCAAGCTATAGGAACAATCCTATTATCGCCATCCTTTCCAACAGCAGCAAGAAGATGACCCTTTATATCCCATTTCAGAAAGGCTCCATCGATTCCTATCACAGGTCTACAAGTTTGCTTCCAAGAATCCTTCTGAGATTTAAAACATGTGTATAATCGATAAAACCTCTGCTTGCTTCCAATAACAGGTCCTGGAACTGTCTCTATCTCAAACTCTGTCCCTGGATTCTGTTTTAAAACCTCAGCTTGATAATCCCATATTCTTGAAAAGTGATCATCATGACTAGCATGTCTTGCTCTCAACACTTTGGTCTTCGCTTTAGCACACTGATCCGGAGTTACTTCCAGCTTGTATTCTCTCTTAATTTCAGCAACCATCTCGTTTTTTGTAAGTTTTGGATTCACTCTCAGCCTTTCCTCAAACAATAAAGCAATTGAAAACCGCTTCAACATCTTAGAATAGCCTGACCTAACACAGATATGCTCACTGTCATAGGCTCTTATTTGCATCTTATGTTTTGTTTTCTCATATGAACAATAGACTCTCCAGCCACAAGGAACACCATCATCACCAACATAGCAACACTTAGCAGCAACTATCAAAGCTTCAGACCTATAGAGTTTAATGTCATACCTTGTCTTTAATGAGTATCTCAAAAGAGCAAGCTTGACGTCATCAGGAGTGTTGAAAGTTTTCGCCAGAGCTAGCAACACCTCTGGATCCTCTTCTTCACTTTGATTTCCCTCTTCCTCGGCTCTGTCTTCATCTTCGTCGTCCGATGACAAAGGATCTGGAATCTTGTCATCCTCCCAGATATCATCCCCACTGTCAGAATCAGTACCACCTTCATCTCCTCTTAAAGCTTCGGGAAATCTTCTTCCATGTTAACATTCTCTTCCACAGCTAAACCACCATTATCATCGTTCTCTCCACCATCAACTGCATCATCAACAACATCGTTATCTCCACCACCAACTGCATCGTCAACAGCATCACAGTCTTCATCACCATACACGGCGCAGTCATCTTCGAGGTCAGGCTCATTCACCATTTCAGGCTCTTCATCCTCCTCTTCTTCATGTCTGACTCTCCTACGTTTCCGACGCCGTCCAGAAGCTCCACCTTTAGCTCCGGCAGAACACTGTGCTGCGCCAGCTAACTCTGAAGCTTCTTCCGCCCGAGGACATGGAACTCCATCTCCGATGACAACCTCTTCATCTCTATCTACTTCGCCTTGCATTGCAGCTTCAACAACAGACCCAATACAGCTTCAATTCACGATTTCCTAGTTCATCGGAACAATTTCGATTTTGATAAAATTAGGGATTTGATTTTTTTGATTTGGGGATTCTATCGAATTGGGGGTTTAAAGTCGATTAACCCTAAACGACGTCGTTTTTGCGCAGTAACAGAGGCATTAACGGAGGTGTTAACGGGTGTTAACGAGTGTTAGCGGATCTGTTAACGGCTTGGTGTTTTGGCTTGGTCAACAATTTTATCTTGTGCTAAACGGAAGTCAACGTTTTTATCATGTTTAAATTGGCCATTTATGAAGTTGGTGTGGCAAACGGCCACAATTTGAAAGTTCGGCTATTAAATGACATTTTTCCTCTAAACAAATGACCAAAGATGATAAGTGAACCAGAAATTAGAAAACTAAACCGGTTACCGGTTTATCCTGTTACAATACTCCCCTGTCGAGAACATCCTTGTCCTCAAGGATGATAAGCGAAAAAAACTTGGTAGAGCTCTTGATCATACCGTTTGGTTCGTCCAAGCTCTGGTGGCCTTTGAAAGTGGTACACTTCCAAAGAACAAAATTCAGCGAGAGAATTAGCAACATATATTGCCTGCATGAACATTTCTGTCACATCCATCTCTTGGGTCTAGTTATCATATCTAGCCTGCATCTTCTCGCTTTGAATTTCAGTACTAAACTTCCCCAAATCGTAGTAAAGTCCAACTTCAGAATGAGTATTTGGCGGTCTTAGAGGAGAACCATATATGAACCTCTCCTCAAACATGGTCAAAACCAATTCTTCTAGTTTACCAATCTTTCCTTCGTTGTAACAGTTAACCAATTCAATAAAAAGCATACACAGATTTTTGAGGTTCCTTTAAGCTGTTGTAGTAGCAGTAGCACATTTGGGGAGACTGTTGCTAAATTGCCCATTGCGAATGACAGCTACCATGGATTTCGGTTGCAGTTCTAAGACAAAGCTACCTTTGTTCCATCTATCCTATTTATCAATACCAGCTTTACTAATCATACACTCTTTCACAGTCAAAGCTGATATGATCTTGCCAAAAATACCATCTTTGGTATAATTAACTCCCAACATCGTAGCAGCTTTGTCACTACCATCTTCATCATTCTTAAGCTTCTTTTCTACGACAAAAACCAATCCTTCATACTTGCTGCCATGAGCTTCCATCAAATAATAATTGACCAGTTGCAAACACTTGGACCTTTTATGGACAACATGCAACTCTGAATTCTTAAAATCAGGTAAATAGATCATTAACCAGTGCTTCCATTTAACCACATTACCACCAAAAGTCGTTGACCTCTTACCTCCAAGCTTCAATAACCGCTTATACCTTATAACCACATTAGCATTAATAGAGACCAATTCCACCAAAAAATAATACTCTGCAACCGTAATGTCTTTAACAACTATCACTTGGCAGTGTTCTTTGCTTTCGCTTCTCACTTTGTGTCCAAGTAGCAAAATATGTAGAACTTTAATCCCACCAAGCAGCTTGACACAAAAGAACAATGCTCCATACTTATAATTGCTGACAACCATCATTATATTCCTTAGAATTGTAATAGAAACCTTTGAACCTTTTTCTCAAGGAATGAATGATCAAAGGAAACATCTTGTTTTTATCAAAAATTTCTGAAACTTTAGGACCAAAACCAGATGGATCCTTTGGAGACTCTTTGATGACCATAATTACTGTGAATTTCCTTAGCTCTATTTGTGCCCATCGATGCCTCAAAGATTTCTTCATGATGTGATCTATTGTTTGTTTCCGGTGGACATGAAGTTCTACCTCTGCTCCTAACCTCATGTTACGTATTCCCATGCCGACTAATAACTTCCACACATCATCTACTATTGCCTCTCGAAATTTCCTATTAATATTAATGATTCCTTGTAAACGCATCCCATGAAACTGCTGCTTTATTTTCATATCACTATACCACCATCTAAGTTGCACTGAAACGGTTACGGGAAACGGGATAAAACATTCTGGCGATTTCTTGATCTAGTTGGTCCCTGGCTTGAACACCAAATGCTCTTTCAATAGGTGAAAGAGCCGACTTTCTTTTCTTAAAAGCAGGATCCGTTTCACAAACCAAAGACACTTCTTTTGGACCAGATTCTTTTTTTCTCGTCTCAAACTCGTTTTCCAACCTTTACAGCTCAAGCTTCTCATTCATTCGTATTTTCGTACAAGAAGAGATGCCTAAGATTTTTGATCCCAAGCAAGTGAGCTTTAACTCTAGAATACGACCCTTGTCGTTTCAAATTACAAAAGCTACATTGAATTTCCAGGTTCCTCCTGCTCCTGCTTTCGCTACTTTTTCCACATAACTCCACAGTGGAGCTTCATCACTTTGATTTGAAGAGTTTGCAGATTCATTACCACTGACCTATTGAACAATTTTGTAAATGATGCCCCTAAATTTCTTTATAACATCTGATGCCCTAAAGCCCTAGCTTCATGAGCTTCTGCCACGGGCCGGGCCTGTCCACTGTTATTACCAATATGATCACTTTGTCCTTGAGAACTGTTCATCTGCCAAATAACATAATATAAATTAAAATTAATCTAAAACAAAGAAACAAAGAAGTTAAACAAACGTGATGAATCTCTATGCTATATTAAAATAATATTCAAAAGTAATAAGAAAAGAGAAGAAGAACTACTTACTCTGGTCAAAAGGTCGTTTCACGTAGACGTAGTGTCGTGAAGAGAAGATTGTGATTGTGAACTTGGTGAAGAGAAGTTGAGAACGGCAGAAGGCTTTTAATATTGTAGTCGTGCTAAACCTAAGGACTCTTTTAATTAAAAACCATAGAACATGTCTTTTAATTCCTTTTATGATTGAGTTTTCTTTAGGAAATTGACAAAATTGCTTATTTAAAATTAGGGACACTTAATTTATTCCCAAAACGTGTCGGAAACGTCCCTATATCAGTTCCAACACGTTTCCATTTTTTGCTGGCGTCCCTAACGTCTCTGAAACGTGTGGGAAACGTTTTTAGGCTGTCCCCAGCAAGTACCCGTCCCCGAAACGAAGCTGGGACGTGAGACGGCTGAAAATTAACGTCCCCGTGCATTATGAGATTCACTTATCCAATCCCAGTGGTCTTGTACACAAAATAATTTACCGGCTTCCAGACGTAGTTAGCTAGAGATAATTTACCGGATAGTTTCTCTTCAGACCACTTACTCATATCTCTAATGCAACAACAGACTTGGAGATTCAAAGCTATCAAGCTATGATCAAGTTTCTTATCCTTCATAACATCGTTTTCAACATTCATTAGCTTCTTCTTTTCTACACCATAAACCAGTTCTTTACACTAATATGACCTTGATTTAGCTCCTTCTTATACTCCCATCCAAAGAGCTCTAATTTTGCTTCCAAACTCCTATTATAAGCCCCAAAACAGACCCATAATTTCAAAGCATCACGAGTAATTAAGCAGTTTAATAAGATCAGTCCATCACCTTGTTGTGCTTCCAATAATCTGACATGTGATCCCCATACCATGACATACTTTTCACTTGATTTCTCCACAAAAGAGAAATTTGCTTCTCTCTGAATTGCTTTTAAACTTGAATCGACAGGACTTTGTACACTTCGTTGGCAGCCTCTTACTTTGTACTCTTGGGTGCATTGAATCGAATAGTTGGTGTGCAACACGGTGAATACAGTGCCGGCTTAGCTAGGGGGGCAGAGAGTGCAACCATTAGGGGCCCACACATCAAAGGGGCCCACAAATTTTTTTTTGTAAGCAATACCCAAAAAAAAAGTAAAATCTGTGTAGGAATTTTGTTTTTTTAATCAAAAGGGCCCATAAATTTTGTATTTTTATGTAAACATAACGACAAGTTTTCTTTTTCTTTTGTACTGGACTAAAAAATTGGATCTTAATTTTCTTTACCCACACATCAAAGGGGCCCATAATTTTTTTTTTGTAAACGTTGTTTTTTTGGTTTTTTATTTCTCGAAACGTTTTTTTTTTTAATATAATAGGGGTCCTATTTTTGTTTTTGCCCCGGGGCCTATCAAATGCTCAAGCCGGCGCTGGGTGAATATTAACACATGTAAATCTATGGGAACGTGGCGACCTCTCAATCGGATGTGACACTTGGTCCGGCCTTGATTCGTCCTTTGATCGTCTTGATTCATGTATGTCGATAGCACATCTTTGATACCACTCTCTTGAATCGATGAACTTGTTTCAATCCATTCTTTTGCACAGAACGATTCCACTTCCGGGTTCAAAACTTGAAGAACGGGAACGTCAGTTCTTTCTGGAACAGCCTTAATCATGTATGATTTGTTAAAATCTTGAGGATCGTGAGATAGAGGTGACTGTGATGGTGTTATCGGAGTGATCGGCGAAGAGAAGTTGGATTCATGAGGTTGACTCGGGGAGATCGGATTGTCAGAAGCTCGTTCATCATCACCAGGGCCGGTCTTAGGTTTATGGAGGCCTAAAGCATTTTTTAAAGTGTAAGAATTATCTGAACCTGAAAAAAGAAAAATTGCTAAAAAATAAGGGTAAAAGTACTTGTGGTTGCTCGAACCCACGAGCCAGGAAGTGTCCAAAGCCTACATAACCATCTGAGCTACTTGAAATTATTAGAAATATCTGTCATAAATGTAATATATAAACTGGGGCCTAAAGCACATGCTTTGGCTGCTTTATGGACGGGCCGGACCTGATCATCACTCTCAACCATGACAATTCGTAACCTCTTGTTCCCACTGAAGCGCCGTCGTCGATGGCAGCATCAAACGCAATATTGAATCGAAACCCTATTTAGCGATGGAGAAGGAAGTTCCCAGCGACAAAACGATTGACAATATAAGAAGCGGCACCATATTCTTATATTTATATTAGGCTAATTAGGTATGAGTATTAGGGTTTAAATTAGGTATGAGTATTATCGCCGTTAAGAAAGAAGTAAATAACCTTATATCTACTTTATTTTTATAATCTACGAATTATGGTAAAGTTACATAAATTCCAGTCGAATAATTAATGTTGTAAATGGGCCATATAATTATTAAGAAGCTAATCGAAAGGCCCATATATTTGTCTAGTGTCATTAATCGTGTGGTGTTGATCGAACGGTTATTACTAATCCCTTTTATTTTAATGTTAATTGGACGGCCACGAATAAAATTGATTATTATAATAGGGAAAGCAGGGGTAAGTGTCAAAGTTGATATCGGACGGCTGTGGTTTTTTTCTGGTTTTTTTTTATCTCGATCTAACGGTCCGAATTTTTTTTCATAATTAAATATTTAATGGACAGGGGCAAAATGATAATTGCTCAGGCCGAAGATAGCCTAGATGGCCAGAGTTTAGTCAAGGACGCTTGTCAAATATTATATATTTAGATTATAATCACATTTAAATATATAAAGTGACAATAAAAAATCATGTTACTTCTAATGAGTGAGTTTTCATATCTAGTTGTAGTGGAAAAATAAATAGAAAAGACCTTTAAGCTGTTAGAATTACATCAAATATCGTAAAAATTAAAATATCTAAGAGTAATTAAAAAGAATCAAGAAAAAGTATTTTCGTCAAACAAGAAATGGAAAAAGACGTGGATCATAGGTTTTATCCAATATGGAGAGTATTTTGGATGGACAAATCTTGGGTTCACCCCTAGTGGCGGATCTAGGAAATAATTTTACCCGTGGCAATAATATTAACCTTAAAAAAATCGTTTCTTACAAACCCCATAAAAAATACGAACAAAAAATAATACTTTAATTTACGAAAGTAACCCACGATCACTCATAAATCGAAATCTTCTTATCACTTTTCACATTAGTGACAGATCCATATAAATTTTTGTCAACATAACATACGAAGCAATCACTTAAAATTGGTTTCCAATTCAGCTCTTTCTAAGCCAAGACACTAAATTCAATTATAATGATCATCATGGTTGTCTTGGATTTTTAATTCTATATTACACATTATATATGTGTATAAATTGTAAATTTGTAAGACAAGTCATTTTTGGTTTACTTCTAAACATAAACCGAATTCTCAGAGATTTGATATACAAAAATACACAAAACAATGTTCTAAACTTAAAAGTAAAAAAAAAAAGAGATTGGAGTAAGAGAAAATAATAAAAATCTAATAAAAGAGAAATAAAACATAGAATAGAAACGTGTGTATAGAAGAAAATAAAGTTATGGGGGCATTAAGTAATATATTAACAGGGGCAAAATTAAAAAGTGTTACAAAATAACATTAGTTTTTGAAAAATTGACGGTGGCAACTGCCCCTCTATAACGTCATGTGGCTCCGCCCCTGTTCACCTCCTTTTGTATTAGCCAATGAGATTATGACATGTAAGACTGTATTTAAATAAAAATAATTAACTACAATTTAATTAAGAAAAACAAAAAATGGAAACAAAATCCTAACGTCCGTACGTATTTATTTAAATACGTCAAATATTGACGTCTTTTTTTTTTTTTTTTTTGATAAAATATTTTATAAAGAGATTTAGATTAGGGTTAGAAGTTATCTCTTTCTTTTATTTTTTTCAAACCAAAACACCATCGACAATCTCTTATATCAAAACCTATTACTTATTATTAAATTTGTTGAAGATGATGCATAAGAAGATGGAGCCAATATCGATCTAAACTCTTAGAGGAAGGAAAATATATTGCTTTTAAAACATCAATTCGTCAGGTGAAGTTTCAGATTCTCTTATTACTTGTAAAAAAATATTTTTTAGTGGTGAATAAATAGAGACAACTAGCTATAATTGGTACATGTGTAATTTTTTTTGTTAAATTTTTTTTATGAATTGTGTTTTCCAAACCATCGTTTTCCCTATTGTTGGACTTGTTGATCCTGCAACATTGAAATCTCTGGAATTGGTGAAAGTCTCTGAATTAACGACCTTTAAACGCAAGGTAAAACACAAACATCAATTAAAAAGTATATATATGTGTATAATAATATTAAATGGTTAATGCAGATTGCAATGGAGAGTAGTCATATAAGTGAAGAAGTTTTAGTCGAGGAAGAAGATGACTTAATAAGTGAAGACGAAACTTTGGTTAATGAATTTGAAGAAGAAGATGAAATAGCCAACAACGAGGATGACGCTCAAACTGAAGAGGTTGCTGCTTTAGAAGCAAATAATGATAATGAGAAGAAAGATGAAATATATATTGGAATGGAGTTCAGTTCTGATGAAATTGCACATATAACTTATAAAAAGTATGGAGGCAATCATGGTTTCAATGTAAGAAAACAACGGAGGATGAAGAAAAAAGAGAAGGTAGTAAGGCTTCTTTATGTTTGCTCAAAACAAGGGTACATGAAAGAACCTAAGGTCATAAAATCTTATTCACAGCCAATCACACGGTGTGGTTGTAATGCTCATATGACTTGCTACCTTCAGAAGACCGGAAAATATAAGGTTGTGTCTTTCGAGCCGAACCATAACCATGATTTAGTGAAGACACCTATGAAACATTTGTTGAAGGGAAATCGGGTATTATCTATCTCTCAAAAACAACATGCAGATGATGCCGAGATGTCAGGGATTTCAGTAAAAGCAACCGTTGAAATGATGAGTAGAGAAGTAGGAGGGTAAGTAAATCTGGGTTTTTTGAAGAAGGATTATCAAAATTACATATACCGAAAGCGAATGGCAAAAATGGAAAAGGGAGATGTTGGAGCTGTTTTGGAGTACTTTCAGAAAAAAAAGAGGGTATGCATCTTTTTTTTATTCAATGCAACTTGATGAGGATGATATGATCACTAATATCTTCTGGGCAGATGATCGGTCTATAAGTGATTACAATCTTTTTGGAGATGTCGTTTGCTTTGACACAACTTATAAGACCAATGACTATGAAAGACCCTTTGCTCCATTTGTCGGAGTCAATCATCATAAGCAAACTGTTGTGTTTGGTGCTGCTCTCTTATATGATGAAACCACTGAGTCATATAAGTGGCTTTTCGAGACTTTTCTTGGAGCAATGTCTGGAAAACAACCTGAAACAATTCTTACAGACCAATGTGCAGCAATGGCGAATGCAATAGTGAAGGTATTTCCTGATACAAAGCATAGATTATGTGTTTGGCATATTTACCAAAATGCTGCAAAGAAGTTGAGTCATGTATTTCATGGAGCAGAACAATTTGCCATGAACTTTAGTAAATGTGTATATGACCATGAGGAAGAAGAAGAATGGTTATTGGCATGGAGTAATATGCTCCAGTAGCATAAATTGACGGGGGATAAATGGTTGAAGAATTTATTTGAGCTGAGAGAAAAATGGGCAATGGTATATGGTCGTCATACGTTTACAGCAGATATGGTGAGCACACAGCGTAGTGAAAGTATGAATAATATTTTGAAAAAAATACTTGAAGCATAGTTATAACTTGTTGTGCTTCTTTGAACACTATGAGAGAGTGTTGGAGGATCAACGATATAAAGAATTAGTTGCTGACTTCAATATGATGCATACCTCGCCGGTATTATGTGCTACTGTAGAGATGTTGCAACATGCAGAGGAAGTGTATACACCAGAAGTTTTTAGCTTGTTCCAGAAGCAATTCATAGTTATCGGTGATTATGTTGCCAAAAAGGTTAGTAAGTCTGAGATGGTGTATGAATACAATGTATCTTATCGAGGTGTAGCACGAGAGCATTTGGTTAATTATGATGCTGCAAACGAGACAATACATTGTGGTTGCAAGAAGTTTTCTTTTGCTGGGATTTTATGTCGTCATGCATTGAAAGTGTTGGACAAGAAGAATGTTAGAAGAATTCCATCTACTTACATTCTAAATCGATGGAGTAAAGAGGCAAAAGCACGAAACATATCTTATTATCATTCAGAGTCACCTAATGAAACAGTCAAGCAATCGATTGGAAAGCGATATAGCCATATATGTCATACTTTCCGTGAGATTGCATATGTTGCTGCTGATCATATAGAAATGACATTGTGTGCAAATGAAGATGCCATTCAGTTGCTTAAAAAATTGGAGGAAAAAAAAAAGGAACTTCTGAAAGCTAATGCATGGATGCTCCAAACTTCAGATGTTGAACTTGTGGAAGAAGAAGAAGAAGAAGACAATGATGTTCCAAATGCACGTGGGGTAAAAAGAAAAGCTCCTGTTGGACGACCAAAAAACAAAAAAGTTGGACCCCATGGTCGATTTTTGAGTGTTCTTGAAACAAAAAATCGGCGTACCACAAAACCATCAAGTAGTGCTACTGCAAAAAAAAAATTATCATTTCAGGTATTTGATATAACATTTTTCTCTTTAGTTTGTGTCTATTTATCATCGAAATGTGACTTAATCTATCTATACTAATTCTTACTTAAAATTGATAAATGCTTCAGGACTCTACTCTTACTCCAGATACTCAAGTATTTGGTGCTACCACCAGCTCGACCTTACATAATGGGTCATTTATTTCACAAGTGTTCCAGGTAAATTCTTCATTCCTACTTTTTATATTTGAGCTATCTATTATTGTTTTAATAATTTGAAATCTTATATTTTGTAGGAATTTGATAAGAGTTATGGTGGTTCATCATAAAGCTCTGTTATTTTGCTTTGTTTTTTTTTTCCAAAATCATATTCGAACACCAAATTCCTTTTGCTAGATTGAATTTCTTTCTTCTCTTGTAGAATCACAAAATTAGATTCGTATCATTTTATTATTTTCTTCTAGATTGATCTTCTTTGTTTTTTATTATTATTTTTTTACAACTACAAATTGTTTGAGGCAACTCCAAAGAATCTAAGATGAAAACTCTTATTAAGTTCTCTCTGTGATTTGCTCACGAAGAAGACGACTCTTCTGATAACGTCTTTTTTTGTTGTTGTTAAAGTTCTCGTAACGTCTCTTACGCCTTATATGATTTTTTTAGAAGACAATCTCTTAAGTAGAAAAACGCAGTGTTTATGGATTAATATAACGTGACTTTTAGCTCACAAAAAAAAACTTGATTATTATCATGCTTTCAAATTTGGTCACATTTAATTAATTATATTTAAAAAAGAAAAAGAGACGTTAACGTCATTGACGTCCAACGTTAAATACATATAAAGAGTTTGTTTCCATTTTTTGTTTTCTTAATTAAATTTTAGTTAATTATTTTTATTTAAATACAGTCTTACATGTCATAATCTCATTGGCTAATACAAAAGGAGGTGAACCCAAGATTTGTCCATTTTGGACCATATAATCTTCAAATCATTTACCAAAAATAGCCAATTTAATCAAAAATAGTTAATGGGATCTCCACAACTAATATTTAAATAGATTCATATTGGTTTAATAGGAGTATGTTCCAATAAAAAATTCTAAAGATTTCATACAAAAGCGTATTCCAATTCAAAAATTTTAATCTACTTAACATTTTTGAATTACAAATTTGCTCATTTCCAATCGGGTCGGGTAATTAGTAGGATTTTGACCCGGATTTTTTTTTGACCCGACTCAATGGCCAATCACATCTCTCGGATTCTTTTAAATGAGACTTGCCAAAAAGAAATTCAAGTAATTCGAGTCAATATTCGCTAAGATATTTTCCTAATCTAACAAATCCTAACAATGGAATCTCTTCCACAAGTTTGACTATTATTATGTATAATCTCTTTTGGTAAGATTTTTTCTACAAAAAGGAAACGACAATAATTACATCATTAATTATACGATTATAACAACTAAACATGGAATCCTAACAATATACCTTAATTTCGACGATTTTTATATATATCTCTTTTGGTAAACTTCTATAAAAAAAATATGACAGAAACGAATGCATTAAAGATCCAATTTTAACAATTAAATATGGAATGCTAATAAGAAACATTATATGAAAATCAAATTTGTTCCTATAAAAATGGTAAGTGACATTTCGACTTTGAACTGCAAAATGTGACATATACATTACCTACTTTTTCGTTTACAATAATATTTAGCATTATCTAGAGAATATGCCTGATATAGTTAGCATTAATTTTAATTTGCGAGATTTTCAAGATTTTGAACTTGATCACCAAGATTTTCTCGCTTTACAATCAAACCTAACCCTAAACATCTACAACCTCTATATATAACATGTCAACACATGAAAAAAAAAACCATCGCATCAGAAACATTTTACCTTTTACATTGAGGATGAAAGCTTTTTAATATCTCCATGGTTGGAGACGGCTTTACAAAATTGCATGACGAGTCCAAGTTAAGATCCTGCATCATGGCAATACACAGCCAAAAATGGTGAGATTCTAAACTCAAATATTATTGTTAGTTTCCAAATTCATTTTTTTCTGCAGATTTGTAGATAACAAAAAACATGCTTGGCAACGATAGAGTCTAGCTCCGATCTGTTGGATGAAAGAGTGGCAATAAAAAGGAAACACATAAATGGTTTTGTTTCAATCCTTCTATGTAAGGCCTTTAGCTGCGTTTTAGTACTAAATTACACTATTGTATACATTCCTCTTCATAAAAATATATATATATATAATTGTGTTTCTTCTGGAAAGCTTTGTTTAAGTATTAGTTGGATTTGGATTTGAGATAATCTATGTTTATAAATTGTTTTCAACAAGAAATTTTATGTGTGTAGGCAATGAAGAATTAATATGACAAGATACTATCTTCCCCTAGCCTACATCTATACTCTTACCCAATAGAGAGATAAATGAATGAATAAGATTTTAATGAAAGACTTATCTGTTTGTACTCCATTGTATGAAAATGTTCTTTAAGAATAGAATCCTCCTTTCAACTTAGCCTCCTTTCAACTTAGCCTCCCTCTTCAATCGGATCAACTCATTATCTAGACAATGAAAAACCAAGCATATAATATAAGAACATCCATGAACAACACAACAGTCATCTTAGTTAGCAAAGCCAACACAAGTGTGTTCCTTTTACCTTCTCAGCATACTCTCTCTCATACTGCTCAGCTCTCTTGAAGATGAGCTTGCGGGTCTCAACACTCTTCTTCTTAGCAGCTACAGCTTCATCTTTGTTGACCAATGTCCATTCCACTTGCCTCTTGATCATTTTTAGCACAGACTCTTGGAACTACTACCTTAGATTCAGCCATTTCTCTAACACACATACCATTCCACAAAAAAAGCAAAAAAAGCTATACTAATCAAAACAAACAAATAAAAAAAAAACTTTGAGAAATTGAACAGATTTTTAATCATAGAGACTCAACCAACGTAGGAACATCTTGGAGAAATTGAACAGATTATGACAATGTTTAAAACCAAACAACAATATGAAAAGGAGAAATAATAGAAGATCGGTAACTCAACGCAACGATACCATAGCTATAATCAAAATTGAACTATCTACAATAGAACTGGAACAATTGGATTTATCGATCTCATAACAAGCAAATTATAATGAATCAAAGAAAGTTTACGATTAGAAACGAAACTAAACGAGGAAGATCAAAGAAAGAAGCTTACTTGAGAGTAAGAAGAAGAAGTCTTAGAGACAATTACCAATTCTCAAAAAGATCAATTACCAATTCTCAATCTGACCACATCAATTCTTACTGTTCTATATATCAAACGGATCATAGAAACCTAATTTTGCATTACCCTAATCCCAATTCTAATAACCCTAATTTTGCATTACAATAATCCCAATTCTAAGAACCCTAATGATAACAATGGATCATAGATTGATTTTCGACTCATCTCTCTTCGCAGAGTAACGGAAATCAACCAGAATCGAAGATTTCGCTTCACTTAGTTTTTGTCGGCAAAAGTCGAGAAAGGGAGAGAGGTGACAAAACAGAAATCATCTCATAACTCCCTTTTGGAAAACACCAAACCTCTTATATCCTTTTTTGTCTACATATCCCCTTCTCCATTAATGAAACGTGGCTTGACCATTTTACCCTCTCTTTATCTCTCTTTTTTTGTTGGAATTGATTTATTTGAATTTTAATTAAAAAAAAAAAGATCGAAACCCAGGAAAAAAAAAACGCTCTCTTCTCGAGCTCGAGCTCCACCTCCGGCGAGCTGCATTGTTGCCGTTTCTTCCGTTCTGGCGAGCTTCCGGCGAGCTGCGGTGAGACAGGTTAGTTCTTGAGATAGTTCTTTTAGCTGCATAGAGCTTGAAATAGAAGTTTAGGATTTAGACAATGAGATTCAATTCAATTAGATTTGGGTAATTGTGTTTGGATATGCACATTGGAAGTTTATGCATAGTTTCTGGGTCGAATAGGTCTGTAAATGGGTAAGAAATGGATTACAGCAACTGAATCATAGTGAATTGTAGTTTTGAACCCGAAACCATCCGATTTGAGTTCTTGTCGCGAAAGTACAACTGGTAGAACTGGGTAGAAATGTACCTGAATCTATTGAAAAATATATATGTAGTATTACTAGTTATACTAGTATTACCCAGATGTATGTAGTATGACTAGTTATACTAGTATTACCCAGAATTGTAGTACAACTAGTACAACTAGTATAACTGACAGATTTTTTGTATTGTTTTTGCAAGATACAATGATGGAGAACGTGAACATATATTTTAAATGCAAAGGTCGCATGTATAGCTTGATGATGAATACATCAGGGGGAAAAATAACTCTCTCCATGTTAGAAGGTAGGATATGCACGAAGCTTGGATTAGATGAAAGTAAGGTTAAATTGCAAATGAGGTACAATGCAGTGGTAATGGGACCAATTGAAGAGATTTACATTAGTGATGATGAGGATGTAGGTGTCTATATATCTTCAGGTGAAAATAACCTCCGATATGTTTTGAATGTGGACGTCATCACTCCACCAGAATTGCCCGAGCAACTGTCGAGAGTGGAGCTCCTCAATAAAAGTTCTGTTGGTAAGAACTATGCGGAATTGGATTCAAATGAGGATGAAATGACTGATAGTGCTGCTGCCATCGTTTTGTGTGAATACGATGAACAAGGAACAGAACCAAATGAGGCAATAATGGAGGTTGATGATACTCGAGATACTGAGATTGAATCACGTGATGAATCTATGGATAGATGTAATGATAGGGGTGATGAATACGTTGAGCCACCGCCTGTTGTAGAAGCTGGTCAGTTTAAAAAAGAATGGGAAGACGGTATTGGACTAATTTTACGACAAGAATTTCCAAGCAGGGCGGCATTGCAGGAAGTGGTGGACAAAGGTGCATTTGCTAACAGTTTTGGTTATGTTATTAAAAAGTCTGATAAGGAGCGGTATGTCCTAAGGTGTTCTAAAGAAAGTTGTGCTTGGCGTATACGAGCTTCAAATATTCGGAATACAAGTATTTACTCGATTAGAAAGTACAACAAGATGCATACTTGTACCCGGATAAGTAAGAGTAGTACAAGGATGAGGAAGAGGAAAGGTACTCCTGAATTAGTAGCAGCTCTTCTTCATGATACTTTTCCAGGACAAATGGAAACTCCAGTTCCTAAGGTTATCATGGAGCTTGTTCAGACGAAATTAGGTGTGAAGATATCGTACTCCACCGCATTGAGAGGGAAAAAGAAAGCCATTTGTGATTTAAAAGGTAGCGCGGAAGATAGCTACAAGGATATCAATTGTTATTTGTACATGTTGAAGAAGGTAAATGAAGGTACAATAACATATCTGAAATTGGATGAGGAAGATAAATTTCAGTACCTATTCATAGCTTTGGGTGCTAGCATTGAAGGCTTTCAAGTGATGAGGAAAGTGATAATTGTTGATGCAATACATTTGAAGAACGGATATGGTGGTGTTCTAGTATTTGCCTCAGCTCAAGACCCAAATCGTCATCATTATATCATAGCGGTTGGCGTACTCGACAGTGAGAATGATGCTAGTCGTGTTTTTATGTATTCTCTGGTTTTGTAAAACTTGGTTAAACTTGGTTTGGTATAACTATGAAGAAATTAACAAATCTTCATAAATTTAAAATTATATCATGGTGAATGTCGAAAGTCTGAAAAATAGACAACTTAGTGTTACATAATCAAATTAGTGGTTTGTAATCAAAATTTGGTAAATAAAATTTTCAAAAATCTTACACATTTGAGCTTTCTACATGAAAGTTCTTATACTTTTAAGATGTTTTTCTTTTGAATATCCATGGTGAATGTCGAAAGTCTGAAAAATCAACATTTTATACATATTATTGAATGAATATGTTTGGAATTTACCACATATACATAAAATCATGTGTACAACTAATAAAAATTAATATTAATCCAAGAATAACTAATTATACAGAAAAACCCCAAAAGTACAACTATGTGTAACCGAGTACAACTTGTAAACTTGGGATTATTGTCTAAAATGCCATTTTTTTAGGAAAAACTTACGAAAATGCCATTTTTTTAATAGTTTACGGATTTTGCCCCTTTTTAACACTTAAAAATGTACGTATTTTGTGATTTTTTTTTGCAAAAATACGTACTTTATACCAAATACTAAACCCTAAGAACAAATAGAACCGACTAAACCCAAACATAACGAGTGAAACGCATGTTAAATCATATTTTTGGAACCTGAAAAAGGACAAAATCTACAAACTATTCAAAAAATGGCAAAATCCACAAATGCCACTATAAAAAAGGGCAAAATCCGTAATTAATTCTGTAAACTTAGAAAAACTGTGTATATTTGACGGCGCCATGTGTACAAATGACGGCGCCACGTGTACAAATGACGGCGCCATGCGGTTCACGTGTTATTTGCCCCAAATATCCAAAATTTTCTCTTTTCCCTCCAAAATACCCAAAATTTTCGAATTAACCCAATTTCTTTTATTTTTCCCCAAAAATCATTTCAACCCCTTTATTTTTATTACCCAGCATTTCCACGAAATCCCCCCAAATCCTCCCAATTACATCTCAATATCTCCAATTTATTATCCAAACCCACCAAATCCCTAAATCTTCTTTAACCCCAAACCCACCAAATCCCTAAATCTTCCATATAAGAAAGATGAGCCATGTCTCTTCCGCTCCGAACTCGAGTGAAACCTCCTCAAACCGAACAAGAGTAAGAGTTGCTGGGATTCCAAAGAGGTGTAGGTGTGGCGACGAAATCGTTGAAAAAATCTCTAAATCAGTCCCAAATCCTTACCGACGCTACTACCGATGCAAATATGCTTCTGATAGAAACGTAAAAGTCTCATTGTTAGTTTGCGAATAATTTGAATAAGATCACGTTCTTTTAATTCTATTTTATTTTTTGAATGTAGCTTATGAACGATACCCATGTCTTAAAGTGGGTGGACGAGGCATTGGTAAATGAGGTAGAACAGTTGGATTTTCAAGTTAGTGTTCTTGAAGAAGAAGTTGCACTGCTAAAGATGGGGAGAAAGAAAGAGACGAAGGAAATTACTAAGATGATGGTACCCTTTATCGTTGGTTGTTTTCTCACAGTTGTTCTTGTAACTTGGTACAACTAAGGTACTACTTTGTAATTCTACTTGTCTCAAAAATATGTATTTGGTGAATTCTAGTATTTGTATTTGTATGACTAAACATATTTATCCTAGTAATTCCTATCTATTCCTACCGAGTTTAACAAAAATAAAGCAGTTGTACACATTTAATAAAAATACCAATGAACAAACGTACATAGTTTTACCTAGTTTAACAAAATAATGTAGTTGTACATTTTTTTCGTTCACAGTTGTACCTAGTTTTACAAAATTATACCAAAATAAAACAATAACCATTTTGTTCACACAATTGTACCTAGTTTTTCAAAACCGACAGAGTTATACCAAAATAAAACAACAACCAAATTTATGTTCATGACAAAATAAAACATCTTAAAGAGTTTTCAAAAACAGTGGTGGACTCCAATACACAATGGTACTTAATTCTTCTTAGTCCTCGTCACAATAGGACTCCAATACACAACGGTGGTAGACCCCTTCTTTGCATTCTTCTTTATCAACTTCACCCTCTTAGTGTCCTCTTGCCTTGGTTCATCAACATTGTCATCCGCCTTTTTCCCTTGTTCTTTTGGATCCACTTCATTTTTGCTAAGTCTTTTTCTCTTTTCACATCTCTTGTAAGTCCTTTTAAGTATCTTCTCATTGTTACTTGGCTCATCCTCTTTTCCACTCTCCTTCTCTTTCTCTCCAACCTCACTCCCCTTAGTACCACCATCCACAACACCCTCTTTTCCAATCTCCTTCTCTTTCTCTCCAACCTCACTCCCCTTAGTACCACCATCCACGTCACTCTCTTTTTCAATCTCCCCTCCTTCTCTGGCCTCAACCTCCTTAAGACCACCATCCACATCATCCTCTATTTCCATCTCCGACTCCATCTCATCATCTTCAGCCCCTTCTTTTTCCATCTCATTCTCCATCACTTTTTCACCACCTTCATTCTTCTTGGTTAAATCTTCAGAATTTGGTCCATCCTTACCACTCTCATCTTGAACTGCCTTCACTTGGTTTGCTCCAACCTCATCCTCTTTATCACTATAGTCAACCTCATCATTCCCTTCTAGATTTATCTCCGCCTCTTTCTCTTTAGCACCACCACTTTTAACTCTGACTTGGATTGATTGGATTGTTGCTTCCATAGTTTTGAGTCTTGTATCTTGGTCTTCATACTTCTTACTGAGATCCATCATCTTCTCATGCATATCCTTAAATCCATTCTCCAACGTTGTCTTCAACGTGTACACAATCTCAGCCAATCCATCACTACTTGCATCATTCGGAGGCTCAGTCACTTTCTCTTTCCCTTTCTTTCCCCGACGGCCTTTTCTTGTAGGCATAATCACAGCTTCCTCAAATCTTTGGTTGCCTACATCTTCATTGAATTTCTCTTCAAAACATATACTCCTTCCCTCATCAACTAGACGCTTGTGCCAACCATCAACAACTACATCATCTTTATCATTCCATCCACGCTCAACATCCATAATGCTTTTCAAAAGTTTTTCCTCATCATAAGATGGAGTCAAGATACTCTGAATGTCCAGTGCATCATAAAAAAATCTAATTAATACAACCTCCATGACACATAAATAATAAACATGTTATCTAGTTTGCATTTCAGATTTTAACTAACCTTAGTTGTACCGAGTTTGTCATACACATCTGACATAGGAAAGCCTTTCATAGTACTTGGTTTAAACTTCGTCTTGCACATCCGAGGACACTTAGGATCTGCTGATCCCACATCGACGCAAAAAGTGTTCTTCAGAACTGGAATTGACTCAAACGCTAGAAGCTGCAAAAAATAAAAGATCATTCAAAACTAAGTTGTATAACTGCTAAAATACTCTTACTTATACCAAGTTTATAAAAATTTAATAGAAGAATAATGCATACCTCCAGAGGCATAACGAAACTAGGAAACACTTTCTGTGGACCAACAACTCCTTCACATTTTTCCAGTATATAGAAGATGTCTTTCAGATTTTCATCAAATGCATATCTCCCCCACGGGAATGTTTCGCACAAGTCTAGATCAGCCACAACCCTTTGGAAAAACTTCTCCACAGTTGGTGCCTTCTCTCCTGTCTTAGTCTTTCCAACGATGATGCTGCTTAAGAAGTACAACACAGCTACTCTCAAACGATCATCAGAAGATCTCTTCATTGATAGGAACTTTTCCTCCACATCTTGATATTTTATTGTTGCTCCAACTCCAAATATCCTGCCAACAAACTCCATGCTGCCCTTGGTTTCATAGGACTTCGGAAATTGGTGACAATATAATCCTGACATGAGAGCAAATTCTTTGAGAGAATAGCGGATCGGAACCCCGTTGACGATAAACCAAACTTCGCGCTTCTTCTCTAAACATGCTGTGCGAAGAAATAACAGCCACATACCCATCAACTTATGATTTGCGTCCCTGTGCATGTGGAAGAAGTGTCGAAACTGTGGGTGTTCCTTAAACCATCTCAACTCCTTGCCTCTAAGATGAGTCTCCAATAAGCCCACTACCTTATGAATATAGCACTTTGCTGAAATCTTGAATGACTTTGTATACTCACTCGGACTGAAATACATTTTAAAAGGTTGTAGAGCTTCGGTTTCCTCATTAGAATCCTGCAATCAATATGGACCAAGTTATACACAGTTGTACCTTTTAGTTTTATAACTTTCTAAGTTAGAAAAACAGAATAGTTATACCAAGTTATTCATAGTTTTACCTTTTAGTTTCAGATATTTCTAAGTTATAAAAGCAAAAGCAGCATAGTTATACCTAGTTATTCATAGTTTTACGTTTTAGTTTCAGATATTTCTAAGTTATAAAAGCAAATGCACGTTAGTTAAACCTAGTTATTCATAGTTTTACCTTTTAGTTTCAGATATTTATAAGTTATAAATGCACGTTAGTTATACCTAATTATCATAGTTTTACCTTTTAGTTTTAGAAATTTCTAAGAGACACAAGCAACAAACTTATACCTAGTTCTGCTAGTTGTCCAAATTTTAGAGATCTTACCGTTGCAACCACGTTAGCTATTGAATCTGTTGCTTCAGATTCCACTACCACCGGCGGTGGCACTTCTTCAAGATTGGCTCTTACCGTTGCAACCACGTTAGAGATTGAATCTGTTGCTTCAGATTCCACTACTGCCGGCGGTGGCACTTCTTCAAGATTGGCTTCTGGCGGAGTCTCCGTTAAAGATACATTTGCGTTCTTTGTTCGAGGCATAACTCCCTTCCACAAACCTACAAACAAAATCATTTAGATTAGTACTTCCATTCAATATTTCAATCGATTCTATTACCACTAACATTCTCCATCTCTTCGGATTTTATACAAACATAACGAACAATCGATTTTCGCCGACTTTCACTCGATTTCAATCGCAAAACCCAAAATAAAAACTCGATTTTACCTTGCCCAATAACGTAGTTGTCTGTAGTTATACCAAGATCGACTCTGAAGAAATAGAAATAAATCGATCTGTAGTTATACCAAGATCGCCGTCGAAAGCAGATTTTTCTCCCAAGGAATGAATCCTAAGTGTTTTCTTTTCCTCGTGTTTGGTTTTTACGATCTGAATTATTTTTGTTTAAGTGTTTTTACCCGTTTTAATTGGATTCAACCCAATAAGAAAGGGTTTGGGTATTTTCAACCCAATTAGCTTGGTTGGGTTTTGTAATTTTCTTGTTTTGTCTGGGGTAAAGAGGTAATTACATTTAATTTGGATTTAAAATTAAATAAATATATGTATCTGTTTTCTCGAGGGAGATATGGGATTTGTATTTGTCAAAAGGGGACTCCTGGGACGTTTTCTCGGTGACAAAATGCTGAGAAAAAAAAAAGCACGTGTACAATTTTATTTTTGGTTTTGTCTTTACTCTTTCCCACTCATTGGGCCGATCAGAAGCTTTCTAACTCGAGTTTGGTAATCGCATCGGTTCAGTTCAATTCATCATATCCTCCGGTCGGATTACAAAACAATTAATGACACAATCAATAAAAATCCGATTTAATATTAAGAAAATAATTCTTGGACGTGTATTATATAATTTTGACGATATAATATTTTCAGGTAACTAAATCCATATTTACTTTCAATTTTATTTATTTAGTATTTAATTCTAGCCAATTATCTAATCAACACAAACTTTTTAATGTTATTAGCATTCTAATATATAGTGTTCTTCTATTTTAAATAGATCCCACATACATCATATATTAACAACATTAGAAATATTTACATTATAAAATGTTTAAACTATTTATAATATTTAAATTCTGTAAAACATTTATAATATTAATAGTATTTGAGTTCTATAAAAACTAAAAATTAAATATTATGGGAACCATTTGTAAGAAAACTTTAAATTGACTCGAATTATGTCTCTATAAAAAATATTTTTGTAAAAAATAAATAATAAAATGATGTTTAATTTCACCGGACGGAGTTATATGGTGGGACGGGTTATGATAGATATTAATACGGGACGGTGTATCATGGGTGAAATACTAGAATTAACAAATAAATACAAGTATACAATCATAAACACTAAACAAAACAAACAATATTAACAAAACAACTACAATTTAAAATTAAAAATTTTTAGTTACAAAAAAATCAATCCGCGGTATACCACGGGTAAAATCTAACTTTATTACAAACCAAATACAAACAATCATAAGATTATAAACAAAAATTTTTTTAATCTAATATATATAACACAAATAATCAAATTATAAAAAAAAAAAAACACAAACAAAAAAATATTTAACCCGCGGTATACCGCGGGTCATATCCTAGTTAATTTACAAAATCTCTAACACTGTTCTGATTTGTAATGTAGCTATTTCAGTACGTGACCCAAAACATTTAAGGGAAAAAATCCGGAAAAACCGCCATCTATTTTTTTTTTGGCCGTTTAATACGTGTGTTTTTAAATTTGGAATAAAAATACCTCGTTTAATTGTTGTTGTCTTTTAAATTCTTTGTTTTTTAAATTTTGGTAGATTCATACATTCCCGTTAACGGCTGTTAACGATGATAACGGAATCGTTAACCAGAGTTAAAAATTAACCCATAGTATTTACGTATATATATACAATCTCTTTTCAAACGTGTACGAAGATATTATCTTAGTCTGTTGGTTAAACGTGGGATAGAATATCTTTTGGGCCTGAGTTCGAGTCCAACCTTGGATTTTTTAGGCGTTTTAATTTTTTTTTTTTCTTCTTGTCGTTACTCAGATCCGGTTAACGATTCAGATGAAGAAGAGGACGATTGTGCTTATCGATGACTTCAGATCCTAGATTAGCTTCCGATTTCGCTTGGATTATCTTCGATTTCGTCATTCCGAGCATAAATACGCGAAGCTTAATGGCAGATTTTCCCATTCTCTTCTCTTTGATTTCTTCGTTGTTGCAGAAGAAGAAATCTGTTCAGATTTTGGTTCCAAAATTGTTGAGATGGTATTGGCTTTCATTGGTGATGGACTCGTCTTCTTTTGTGTTCTTTTGGTGTCCACTCCATGGTTTAGCTTAAGGTGGTGGTTCTGGTGGATTTTGCCGGCGGAGTAACGAGAAGAAGAAAAGAAAAAAAAAATCTTAAAGAAAATTAAAAAAGCTGCAGATCTGGGTTTCGAACCCTAGTTCTATGGGCAGAAAAACAGACCACTCACCACCAGACCACGGTAATAAATATCTAAATATATTCAAACATGTTTTATATACCTATTTAAATACGTGGGGTTAATTTTTAACTATGGTTAACGATTCCGTTACCATCGTTAACAGCCACTAACGCGGATGTATGAATCTACCAAAATTTAAAAAACAAAGAATTTAAAAGACAACAACAATTAAACGAGGTATTTTTATTCCAAATTTAAAAACACACGTAATAAACGGCCAAATAAAAAATAGATGGCGGTTTTTCCGGGTTTTTTCCCAAAACATTTAATGCACTATCCAAAACTGATCTTAACTATATACTCTCATCCTATAAATTTCAGCATATTCCACTAATATTTAACTAAATCTTTGATTAAAAAATATATTAATTCAGACCCTTAGATTGTGAAACTTTGTTATTGGAGAATATAGCACGAGATCATTTTTTGGGATGCACGATACTTCTAGTGAGAAAGTAAATTGTCAACCCTTTAAACAACATGGTATTCAACTACCAAAAATAAAAAACTTGCCAAAATATCTCAATAGCAAAAATAAACAGCACGCCAAAATATAAAAAAATAAAAAATAAAACTTTCTAAAATAGCTCAATAGCAAAATAAATAGCGTTCCAAAATAACCATTCACTAGAAAAAGTGAACAACACTCCAAAATCTAGCAAGAGTAAATATTATGCCAAAGTTTTTAATGTTAATTAACATTGAGTCAATACCAAAATTTTAGATTTATAGATTTTCATTGCATTACCTAAAAACAAAGAGTTTATTCAAGTGTTTGACTTCAAAATTTAAAAGTTATTTTATTGACCAAAACATGATTCAAACTTAGGGATTTATAAGATGGAAAAATATTAAATTCTAATGAATGGGGATACAAATATGAGACTTGTTTGTTATTCTTAACCAATATAAAAGGAGGCTCGTGCAAACTATCCAAACAAACAAAAATCATATTCCAATTTCTCAGAGGTTTTTGTTTCAACTCTTTTTCCCTTACTCAACATATCAATTGTGTTTTTGTTCTCCTTTCTCTATAAACTGATGACAATCTCGATTGCAACCAAATAATCTTCGATAATCTTAATCATAGCATTGTATTGTTCTCTTTTTGGTTATCATTTTTCCCCATTTATCTATTTGATTTTTTTTATTTCGCATGCATGTAAGAAAAAATGTGTTTTACGTAGAAACATGACTTTTAATATGATGCAGATACTTGATTGTTGGTCTTCTTCTTCAATCCTTAACAATGAATGGATCCAACAATATCACTCCTTCGGGACCACGGTTGATGACTCAACCATCGCCTGCCTTGTCCTTGCCCCCGTTGAGCCGCCCTTCTTCATCATCATTCCGTCGCAATTCATTACCATCAATGATCCTTTCTCCGTCAGCTCATGTGGAGAGTAGAGACTCTTCCATTAGGGATAAGAAAAACCCTTCATTGCCTCCTCTGGATGTGAAAAGAAGAGCAGAGAAAGACATTGAACCTTTAAGGAGACACAATAGGAGTGTTTCAATGGATAGTTTTTTCAATGACTTACTGAAGTTGACTCTTTCTCAGGGTAACGTTTCCTCTTCAAGTTTGGTTGATGGAGACAAGAATGCTTCCGGCCTCGAGTTTGGTAGCAGTGATTATACTGATGATGAGTTGAATATGATTGCGGAGAGTACCAAACTTAAAAAGATAGCATCTGATCCAGTGAAAGTCAGAAGGTAAGTGAAATTGCGTGACTAAATATTATACAATGTATGGTTTGTGTGACATTTATCAATATGAATGCTCTTTCAGAATCTTGGCGAACCGAGTATCAATGGTACTTTCAAAGCAGAGGCAGTCACAGTATGTTATTGACTTGGAACAGAAAATAAAATTTCTTGAGAACGAAAATGCATCAATGTCTGAAAAGATCACGCTTTTGGAGGTGAGACATATCACATTAGCAACCATAAGCTTTTCATGTCTAAACGGTTCCTATAAGGAATTTGGTGAATTAATATTGTTGTTATGTACATGTAGAATGATAAAACAATGATGATGAATGAGAAGAAGGAAATCACGATTAAAATTGAATCGTTGGAGCAACAAGTGCAACTTCGTGATGGTACATCATTTTAATTTCTATCGATACATTAGCGAGTTCTTTGTTGTGTAATTTATAGTAAATTTTTGATTTTTGATTGTTTAAGGTTGTTACTCCGGTAACTGCATGAACTTTGTTTATGACATCACCCATAAAGTAATATCTAATTGTGGAAACAGCTTTAATCTTTTTCGACATCCCACTTATTTTGCATTGAGCATGATAGTGTTTATACGACACCAGGATCTTCTTTATGTGCAGTACTTTCCATTAGGGGTGGGCATTTCGGTTTAACTTCGGGTTCGGTTTGGGTTCGGTTCGGTTCGGTTTATTTGGGTTTCGTAAAACTCTAACCATACTCAACCGAAGTTAGTGTGGTTCGGTTTGTGTTTGGTTCGGTTTGGTTCGGTTTGGTTTTACTTCGGTTCGGTTTGAGTTTGGTTCAATATACAATTAATGTAACAAAACATAAAAAATCATTGTCTTAACATTGAAATTGATAAAGTAATTAAATATTAAATTCAAATTGTAAGTTTAAATTGAATAATTCAAATTAACCATGAAAAGAAAACCCTAAAAAAACCCAACCATATTAATTAGAAGAAGAGGAAAATGAAATCCAACAACGTAACATTATTATAAGTTAGAAGGAAACCCTAAGTTTTTTAGGTTTAGAGTTTTAGAGATAATTAAATCTAATTTACATTTATTCAAATTATAATAAAATTAAAAAAAATAAAATCAAACGTGGGAAAAAAATCAAACGTGGGAAACTGGGAATAACTAAACATTTAGGTATTCTATAATATTATTAATATAATTAATTAATTAATTAAATAAATACATTGGGTTATCGTATCGGTTCGCTTTTAAACCGAACCGAACCGACCCATTTGGGTTGAGAATAAACCTAACCGAATGGTTTGAGTCTAAGCTTGGGTTCGGTTTAGGTCGGTTTGAGTTCGGTTGGGTTGGGTCGGTTCGGTTCGGTTTAAATGCCCACCCCTACTTTTCCATAGTAAAAAAGGAGTTAAGAATATAATACATAAAAAAGAAACATTTTTTGAATAAGTTTAGTTTTTTAACTGAAAAATACGTTTAGTTTTTCCGGTATATGCTATACCGGAGACTTATTAATGTTTAGGATAAGGTAATTTTTATTGCAATGTATAAACAAAATAATATTTTTGGCTGGAAATTTTAACTAGATCCTTAACCGCAACACCTTCTTAAAAATCTATTTCCAACAGCTGGAAAAACAAGTGAAGTATTGCACAACCGACGCGAATCTGATAGATCAAACATGAAAGCAATGGATCCAAACATATTCAATCGGTTGCAGCCAAACCCTGATTTTTATGGACAAAATTAAGGGAGGTGACTTAATTCTATGGGATCAAGGATTGAAGTTATAGTTCTTTTAAGTTATTTCAGTTTCTCTAAGTTGTGTTCAGGGTCATGTTGAGGGTAAAAATGATAGTAACTCTGAGGCTTCCTTCAAACGATATGACCTTTTTATTACTGTTTTGATTTATCTTTTTTTCCAATAAACTATGTCCTTTTTTTTTACTAGGTCCAATACTCGCCCATACATGTGGGTTCTCTGTCCGTAATTTTACTTCTCGATAATGATTTAAATAGTTTGTATTAATATACTTTATGATGCGATCCTTATCATGTCACTTTAACTAAATTATCATCTAAACACTACAAGAAATATGAGCTTCGGTAGCACTCCTTTCTAGCGCTAATTTATGAACTGCTACTAAAAGTTCCAAAATCGGATGGCAAATATTTCGCAGCACTATATTAACGCTAGGATATAGTTTTCATTAAACGGGAACTTAACTCAGTATTATAGCGGGGAAAGGTATAATTTTGGAGGCAAAAATTTTGGGTTTTTCTCCCCCAACCAAAAAAGTCTCGATTTCTCAAGTGTAAAAGTTTTACACTTAGCTCCAACAAAAAAGAAAAAAAAAAAAGCTTTCTCCAAAATTTCAATTCAATCTCAAAGTGTTTGATTCCATTGTGAAATCTGAATACCCATTATTGCATGAACTCTCGATTCCCATTGAAGAAATTTCGATTATCAACACCACAATCTCCATCGATTCTCCACTATCTGTCTCTGTATTTCTCCTTCTTTCTCTGCGGTTGTTTCTCAGATCCGCCACCGTCTCTCTCCTCCGTCGCCATATCTCTCTGCCGCTGCCGTCTCTCTCCGTCTCTATCTCTCTTCGACTCCGTCTCTGTATCTGTCTCAATAGCTCAGGCGATCTCAAGCTCATTAGCCTCGAACTCAGTAGCTTCTCTGTCTCAATAGATCCGTTTCTCTCCTTGTTTGTCTCAGTAGCTTCGAAACCAGCTGATCTCATCCACCTGAAAGGTATACGACATTCAATTGGGTAATTTTAGTTCTTGACTATTTACTAGTTCTTAATTTTAGTTATGAACTAATCAATCTTCTCAAAGATACTAATTTTTAGGAATTGATGTTTCTTTGTAAGTCATTGAAGTTCCCAATCTGATTTTGTGTATGGGTTTATAAATTTCAATGCTTCTACGAACCCAATGCTCGTTGCCACCATCCATGCCTAGCTCGTGGAACTCATCTCAAGCTGTTTGAACAATTCACAAGAAACTGCTTTGTTTTGATTTTGTTTTTAGCTTTGAAGTTTGTGGAATTTGCTAATGAAAGATAATGGGAATTAGTTGTTTATTACTTTACTCATGCTCTTGTTCTTATGTACGATATGATAATTGGTATTGTCGTTTTTGATATGGGAACATATTGTCTTTTTTCTTTTTGGATGTTAGTCAATAATTGAGTTTTCTAAGTTGCAACGTTTCATGAGTTGTGATGTTTCGGTCTGTGTTGTTTCACTCACGAGTCACTAAGTATGAAGAGACACAAGTCACTGTATTGTTGTGTCCTAGCTATTTGTTTTCCATATATAAACCAAAGTTAGTCTTGATGTAAATAACAAGTGTCGGAGATATATAAAAGTTTCAGTTTTACTTCTTGTCTTGTTTAGAAAGAGAAGAGACAATGGTCTCTTACTCTGTTTCTTCCTCCTCTCAACAATATTATAACAAACATTGTTCAATTGTTCATAAGTATTCTGGTTAGCATCTGAGCATTGCCAAATGATTCAAGTTATTTGTTAACAGTGGTGAAGCTTTTTTTATTAGTTATGCCATTATGTCTAGAGATGGTTGAACGATTAATTGATTGATTTATACTCATAAATGTCAGGTTACAGTGTATGTTGCCGTGTTCATGGGTTTAAGCCGTGCTTTTACATTGCGTGCCCTCATGAAATCGGTCCAGACGATGTTTATAAAATCAGTTTCAGTATTGAGCTACTTTCGAAGATTTCTGTAGTTTATTTCCAAGATCAGAGTTCATATTTTGTTTTTTCAGGAAAGAATGAGGGAATCCAATAGAAGTATCAAGGTCCAAAAATTTGTTCATCATATAGAACTGGTGCAGAGAAAGAGTATTATGTATTATCAGCAGCAAAAGTCACAGAACTTTCTCAAAATCGTTCTTACACTTCCGACAATGGAGTCTACATGTCTTGGTATATCTTGTTCTGATTGTTGTCTAGTCTCTCTAACAAAGTGTTGTTCTGTAACTGGTTTTGTCAAAATTGCTTAGGTATCCTTCATAGAGGCATACAAATTAGTGGATTGGGAATGAAGAGCTTCCAAACATACGAAAGCCATGTTCCTTTCGATCTTCGTTTTATGATTGATTGCAATATTGTGGGAGGAAACTGGGGATTGAAGTGCCCTGTGGGAAATATAAAAAGATGTCAAAACCATTGCCATATTGCCAATTGGAGTTTGATTGCTTGTATCCTCTTTATGATACTTTTATAATAACACTTCTAGTTTTTGTCATTAATTTCCTTAATAAGGGGTTTTAGATACTCAGATTTGGAGATTTTTTTTTTTGATACTTGTATATTCATTGGAGATTTTTTTTTTTTTTTGGTAATTGGAGATTCTTAAGATCGAGAATCAGTAAAATAAGCTTTATAGTATATAGTTTTCATTGTATAAATCTTTGTCACATATGTACTCTTATCATTTGTATAAATAAATAAAACGTTTCCAACAATTTTCAATCAACAATCTTCGTAAACCCTAAACCCTAAACCCTAAATTACAGTTAAAGTCCTAATTAAATTAAATCTTTAAATCCTAAATTAAAGTTAAAATCCTAAATTAAAATTTGAAATCCTAAACTATAAAACATAAATACTTGAATAAAAAAATCTAAACCCCAAAGTTTAAACCCTAAACCCTAAACCCTAAACTATGTCCTAGTGTTTATGAATATATAAGTTAGATAGTTGGAATACTAACCTATATTAATTGTTCTTAATTTTAAAATTTTATACTTATAAGAAAAAATATTCTAAAAATTGAAATAATTATATTGAATTTTTAAAGAAATAATTTATATTTTTTTCATTAATAAACTAATTTATATGATAATTTTCTGATTTTATCATTAATAATCAATGAGAAGTAACCTCCCAGATTGTGGGACGAATCCTACACCGTTAGATAGCGCCGACTTTGATCTCAGCCGTCCTTTCTTATTGTTGACGCGATTAATGTACACCGTTGATCTGTCTCGCTAAATTTGATCTGAGCCGTTATTGTCCTTAGCCAATGGTGTAAAATAAATAACCCGATAACCAATAGAAAAAGATCATTCGGATCGCTGACGTGGCGTGTTGTTTTTAATATGGACCATTGATTAAAATGAATCTACAGATACAAATTTAATATTATTTTAATTTGTTTTCTCTTTTCACTTCTTCCTTGTGACAGATACGTGGTTTTGGGTCAAGCTTGTTACCATCTAGGTCTAATGGAAGACACAATAATTCTACTCCAAACCAGTAAAAGCCTTGCCACGGCGGCGCTCCACCGCGAAAGCTACTGCTTGTCCGACGACAGTTTCATCCTTTCCACCTCCGCATCTCAGCCTCCATCAATGACCGAATCCGAGATCGTCTCGCAAATGCTCTCCCAAATCAAAATCTTCATCTGACGGCGCACGGCAGCGCTCGCAGCATTCGACGCCGGTCTCTACTCCGAGTCGATCCGCCATTTCTCTAAGATCGTAGAAAGCCGTCGCGGCGCACCGCAGAGTTTCCTCGCCTATTGCTTAATCCGTCGCGCCTCCGCCTGTAAGTCTGCATGTCGTCTCTTTATCTTCTTCTCTTCTCCATTGCTCACTTAATTGATTGTAAATTCAGTTTTTGTTATAATAGATCTGGAAGCCTTACTCGATTTGAAGAGTTTTCTGAATTTTGTTTGTACGCATCACTTGTATAGCCCCTGGAGATATCAGCCCTGTTCGTTAGGAGATCGTGAGCGACCACACCGGTCTTATTCAGTCGCTGTATTTTTGTTTTCATAGAGCTTATTCCCCAGATTTTCGGTCGCAGGTGTCGCTTCTTCTTAAGCTCATCGATTTATCGTTGAGATGCATATTGACATTTATGGTTTTTGCCAGATCTCTAAAACTAAAACGAATATAGAAACTCTTCAAGGTGCGTTATACCCGGCACCTTAGTTAAATATGGAGAGGTAATGAAAGAATCGATTTGCTTGTGTCTCTCTTAGTTAAATATGTATGTCTGCTTATGTTATTTCAGTTTCTTGATTTCAGGTTGTTCATGTTTGACAACTGTCAAGAACGATGACAAGCTTGAGTTCAGCAAGATCCTTGAGGCATGGCAATTGTTATTGGTCTCTGCATATGCGTTGTGACTCTATGAAAAAATAGAGAGTTCACAAAGCCAAAGGCTCTAAGGTGATCTGTTGATGGAATGGCGTTGGCTGTTAAATGGTATGAGTTGGAGATCTACTAGAGCTGCCTCGGTTTCTTTATGACTTGGTTTGGTGAAGAAATGTACTTGCGTTTTTTTTTCTTTATGACTTGGTTGGTGATTCAAGCCTTTGTATCTTTTGGGTATTTGATAGAATGATTCTTTGAAAAATGTATGTTTTATATAATATTAATTTTATTTATGAATCAATTTGCAATCTATGTTTTGTGCAATATAGGTTTCAAATAATTGAAATATAGCACATAATAATATACATTACAACAGCATTAACAAGCATTAACAAAATGTCACGAAACAATATCCACCAGCACATATAACGGTTATCATCAAACCAAAAATGAAAAATATGTGGATCCAAAACAGAGGGTGGTTTGGGCATTCGGAGACTAAGGGATGTTTCAAAAGTTTTTTCTTTCCGGTTAATTTGGAGGTTGTTCAGTTTATCGGGATCTCTTTGGGTCGCCTGGACAAAACATAATCTAATGCGGAATGGCTCTTTTTGGTCAGTCACTAGCGCAACATTGGGGTCATGGATTTGGAGGAAACTTCTTAAGCTAAGGGAGGAAATAAGGCCATTTATAAGGGTTGACATTCATGATGGGACAACTGCATCGTTTTGGTTGGATCAATGGCTTCCAATGGGGCGGTTGGTGGATCTCACTGGTGAAGCCGGACCGCGACTTCTAGGAATCCCAATTCATGCAACGATTAAACAAGCATTAAGCCAGAATGGTTGGCGCCTAAGGAGGACGAGAGTCTCCCATATGGTCCCGATTATAGCACTGTTACAGGCTCAGCCAATACCTGAACTATCGAATGGACCAGACCATTTCTTATGGAGACACAAACAAGATGATTACCGACCGTCTTTCTCCACAAGGCACACGTGGGAACAGCTGAGAACTCACCATCCTCAAATAGATTGGAGTGCAGTAGTGTGGTCTAGACAACGAATTCCACTCTGTAGTTTCATCATTTGGCTGGCAGTCCGAGATCGACTTTCCACAGGTGCACGCATGCGTAGCTGGGGACTAACCCAACCTTGTGTGCTCTGCGGTGAACGTGACGAAACTCGAGATCATTTGTTCTTTGCCTGCCCTGTCTCATTCATGATTTGGTCGGAATTAGCGGGATCACTACTCCAACATAACCAGAATCCAGACTGGGACATTACACTCGCAACCTTGATTGCTGGTTCAAGCGACTTCCTCAATGACATTCTCTTGAGACTCTGCTTTCAAACTACTATCTATATTGTATGGCGAGAACGAAATTCTAGAATCCATGGCAGGGGCTATGCGACGATTCCACAATTGGTAAAAACAACTGAAAAGCTCATCCGTAACAGGATCACGTCACTGGGTTATGCTTCGAAGCCGAGAATCACGCTTCTTCTTCAACGCTGGTTTCAACACTCTCCATTGGCATCGGAATGGAAGATGACTCTGAAAACTCTTGCTCTGTTTTAATGTGCTCTGTTTTTTTTTTTATAGCTTGAAACTCTTTTTGTATATATTTTGCACTTGATCAATCAATTAAACATCTCATCAAAAAAAAAAAAAAAAATGTGGATCCTAGGTCTTATCATATTTGGAGAGTATTCGGATCATATCATCCTCAATTGAATTTCAGCATATTCTACTAATGTTTAATTAAATCTTTAATTACTAATAGATATTAATCCAGACCCTTAGATTGTGGATCTTCAGAAATTCAAAATCGCTTATTAGTAAGATTAGGGAGAAACGAGATTTTGTGTTTCCACTTCTAATCAAGAAAGATTATCTCAGTTTGGACGAAGTTGAAATGATCGGTTCGTGTATATGTAAGTATATAGGCGAATAGGGCTATATAAGATATGAATCAGAATCATTTCCATCAACATTATCTTTATTAGTCAAAGTAATGCGATGTGCATCAAGAAGATAATAGCCAACTACAAATGTCCACCGTCCTTCTCACGGAACCGTACATATATGAAAAGGGACGTAACGGATTTTATCGGTTAGCCTACAAAACATACAATAGAAAATTTGGTTACTAATTCTTTCAAATAATCGCCAATTGATGTCCTTATTTTCTCCCAAACACAGGAATCGAGGCTTCCCCCACAACCATGTCTTCCGGCGTCTGTGATGCAATTGTTCGCCGGCGTCGGGATCTGTCAAGCTTCCTCATTTGCCTTCTTTCTCAAGTTGTTTTCATTTGTTTTTACTTTTGCGTTCATCTCTCGAAAAATCCAAAGCTCCCTTTGCATGTGGCTTTCTTCTCCGATTGCTTTCGATTCGACGGAAGAGGGAACCAATGACCTTCAAATCCATATCCGAACAAATCCTCGATTGAATCTCCGATTTTGAACCCGACAACAGAAGATTCACAACAATCCAATGACGCTTCTTCTCAAACATCAGAGCACTTCTATATCGATACATCAGTTGGCTCTAGTTCTGGACTTGCACCAGATCCACTATCGTTTCCTCCTCACCGGTTTTCGTTAGTGGCAGGAGTCTCTCTTGAACCATTAGATGCGCCTATACTGGTGGAGACGTCGACGGCGGCTCCAAAGCTGGCAAGTGGTTCTAGGCAGCGTTAATTTCAATCCTTTCCCCCACAACAACACCAATCCTAGGGTTTGGCTGGATGTGTCTTATCTCATCTTGTGGCCCATTAACCTTACTTTTCCCATGTACGAAAGCTGCAGACTCCTCATAAGTTTCAGGCCTTGTGTAAGTATGGTGAGCCAAACTTAAACACTATCAAGAGCCAGGTCAGATCTCTTCTTTGCATTGCCTTGTCTTTTTCTGGAAAATTGTTAATTGATAAAGGATGGTAGAGACTCCATCCAATCTCAGTAACGATATCTCTAGATGGGACGTGTAATTTAAAATTGTGAAACCTGATGGATACATTTGTTTGGCAAACATCGAATGCAAATCTAACGTTGAAGCTCATTGGGCTAGTGTCTCTCTCGAACCTTGGGTGTTGTGATTTTGGTTCACGCCTCTGCTCTGTTATGGAAATACATATCGGGTATAGACCTTCCCAATAACAAGCTTATTCAATCCGCCCCAAGCCTATTGGCCGATGCACATCAACACTCTCGAACCATTTGGAAAAAATCGCCTCATCACGCTTCATCATCTGCGTTTTGGTCTTGCGTCTCCCTTTGGCGAACCGAGCAAACCTACTCCTACATGGAGATACTATTTGGAAAAAATTGCCTCGTCTCGCTTCATTATCTTCTATTTGGTCTTACGTCTCTCTTTGGCCAACCGAGCAAACATACTCCTCTAAGGATATACTATTTCCACAGTCCTATTCTAGCATCGGGAAACAGACTCCACCCGTAGTCTCTACCATGGACCAATTCACCAAAAGCTCTTATGCGTCAATCGCGCGAGCTGTTTATCATCACATGTTGATCGGGGATTTTACGAATCTCGCCTTCAACCTTGACTCCCTACAGGTTTTAAAAGATCTTCCACCCCTTGCAAGCTTCTTAAAGTTGTGCATCTTGGAAAACTCATTGAGCTTTTATCTTTACATTTCATGTAATGTCTATAATTTTAATCTGTATGAACTAACCTCTTTTGAGGATCTAGATGAATGAAAGATATCTTTGCACAAAAAAAAAAAAATGGTTATTTTCACTCTTCATTATTTTTTTTTCTAGAATTTACTCTATTTTCGTCACCATTTTTATTTGAATTTTTTATGTATTGTGTAAAACACTTTATGATATTATATATTTGAATTGTTTAAGTATTGTGTAATTATTTAATTTCTTGAAAATTTTAAAAAGACTTATAGTTTAGGAATTCAAACACAATACAAATCTTAATCATAATAATCACATCTAATACCAAAACGCATTTAACTGATTAATTTCATAAGCTAAAAAAAACCCCTTCAATTTCTAAATATATAAGAACTATTAGAGACTACAAGAAGCCCAAAAAATGTCTCATGAGAAGCTCATTAGTCCATAGAATTAAGTCTAAGCAAGTAGTATATATACAGTTTTGTAATGACATAAATGTTGTTAACTTTGAGAGTTGTCTCAACGCAACTCTCCTCCTTTACCTTTTATGAAATCAAATTAAGAATCACTAGGCTAATACCCGCACAACGTGCGGGTTTTTCCATCCATAATTTGTTAGTTATAACTATTTACATCGATTGAATTAATTTGATACATAATCCTTTTGGTGTTTTTTTTCTTCTAATAATCATTTTGTTATATTCCTTTAACTCTCAAGTAAATAATTCATTCTATGTTTTGTATTTTAATTTATGTTTAATTACATTGTTATATATTTGGTTATCTTTAAAATAATTTAATTTATGTATTCATTCTAATTTATGTATTTTAATTCATGGGCACTAATCCTATATATATTATAGTATATGAAAACATGAAATAAATACTAATATCATATTATTTATTTTTATACGTTAATAAATCTAAAATTTAATTAAAATTCTATTGATTTTAAGTTTACACATAAGTGTATACAATTTATACAGCTCAATTTAAATAATTTAATTTCTATATGAGTTTGATATACTTTTGTAACTAATTAAATTGAATTTACTTAATTAATAAGTTAAATATGTCAATTTTCATATAAAGAATAATTAATGCATGATTTAAATTCTTAATTAAATAAAATAAAATAATAAATGTAATATGTTGTGACACATGGCACTCTCTCCACTGCTGACGTGGCGGAAGGATGGAGAGAGTTGGCCAACTTTTATATATATGATTTGATCTTGATGAAAATCTTAAAACTCTCCCTTTCTTTACTTTCTTTGCGCCCTAAAGTTATTCAAAAGCTGTTTATTATTTTTTTCTCTTTTAGTAGCTCGAATAAGCTTGTTTTGGAATTACTTACAAGAAAATTTATATAAAATAAAGAAATTTTCACGTTTTGTAAGGAATTGAGTTTTCCTTTCATCATTTGACAAAGTCAAGTTGAGCTCTCATCATTTAGCCATTTGGGCTTTTTCTAACAAAAATGCTCGTAACCACAAACTGTTCTTGTTCAGTTACGTGTGTGCTTTTTTTATTTGTCTCATTATGTATGAAAACAAAAATTATTGAAGAAAACAGAAGAAGAAGGAGAAAACGAAATCAAAATT